TACATACATAATTAAAATCTATAAGAAACTATTAAAAGGATAAGGAAACTATTATCAAAGGAAAAGCTTTGGAAAAGCTATTAACATTTGGACATAATTATGCTTACCATTGATATATAAATCAGGGTGGAAAAACAAAAGGCCAACAAAGGGAATTAAATGGATAAGCGCTACGGCCCGTGATCGTTGATGTTAAACAACTTTCGCAAGGGTCGGTCACTGGATGGGTGACCAAAAAATTATTATCTCGAGCTTCTCTTATTATTATATTTGTAAGGTACTTTGAACCGTTGGTCCTGGCTGCATTTCCTATCGTTAATACCATCCAATCCGCATTGGGGCAGTATGGAGGGTCATGGTCCATTCTCTTTAACCATCGATAAGGAAGACCTGAGCCCCTGCAGTCGGGAACAAAAATTTTGGCTTTGAAATAAAAAGCCCAATTTTATATGAAATAAACGTAAACCAAGTCGATTAATTCAGTACCTATTTTTCTGTGAGAGCAACTATCCAACCTTGTCATAGATTTAGGGATACTTGGCAACCGCATAGGTATGGTAAAATAATGTTATATGAAAATATATCTAAAGTTATTGGCTCAGTGCTTTATTGGTTACTTAGGTGATTAATGTGTGTGTGCATTTGTTAAGTATTCCTAAGTCTAGGAAAAGGTTTGATAGTTACTTTTGCAGAGAGATAGGTACTGAAATAATCGACTTGGTTTACGTTATTACATAACATTTTACGACAGAAGAAATACGTTGTGAGACTTGTACAACTTATGTTTTGATGGTCAACTTTCTCTAACCCTTAATGAATAAGTGATAGAATTGAAATTCAACTGTGGAAATTTGACATATTGTGGTACTGACAACTTTATAGGTATTGTTATAATTTATATTAAGTCCTTTATAGAAGTTTTGTTAGGTTCGTAACACAGTTTCTAGACCATAAAAGGTACCTATTAACCACACTAACTAGGTTAAGTTTGCTTTCACATAAATAGTCTACTTAATGCAAATGAATGTTATGTCATTTTTTTACGTTTATCTCAATAAACAAGTAATCATAATTTTACATTTCACAAATCAACATAAGACATCTTAGAAAATTTGAAAATTCGGTTGCGTGTATGTATGTACTGACGTGTATGTACCTGTTCATAAATAAACACAATATAGAGTTAAAAAATATTTGCTCGCAGATTTCTATCAAACACACGAGGCCACTTGCATAAGACTGCTTGGTATTATATCTTTATACCCTTGATAGATACAAGATTTAGGCTTAATAACAAATATATTACAGAAAAGGAGTAGCAATCGTATACGAAAAATTATCCACTTTTGTAAGCCTTTCTGTAAAGCTATTTTGATTCTTTAAAAACTAACCGCAAATGTCCAACGTTTATGTACCTACCTTGATAATGTTTGATTAACCATAATTAAAATATTAGTAGGTTATTAAAGCTTAGATCATAATAACGTTTAAGGTCATTAAGCTCAGCAAGAAGTTGCTTTATTTTTTTTATCTAGAGAATAAATAGAACAGAATGTTGCTGAACATGTCCCATAACGAAAATATCCATAATCACTACATTCCACATGTAGTGATTATGGATACTTTTGTACCCCTAATGTACTAAAGCTTTTGTACGTTTGATCTGTGGTTGCAATGCTTCTAATAAAGCTGATTATCCAATTGGTTGCCAAAAATTATATGCTCAAGTTTCTCCTAGATTTCGGAGGCACGGTATAATTATTATTCTTCCCTGTCTCTTTACTTTCGGATGCAATCGCGACGGATTGACTAGCATACTTTGGCGCTAGTGAACCAATCAAGAGCACGACACGGGGTAGTTGCAAAGTCGGTCTGTCGCGATTTCGTTTGAGAGTAAGGAGGCTGAGCGTGCAAAGTGAGTTGTTACTCATACGAATTAACATGACACTTATTCCTATTTTATTTCTCCTAAAACAAAAGAATCATATCCACTTTCCATACATTGATAGACGTGTACCTGTTTTTTTTTAAAGATCGTGTCTACCTATGAGTAGTGATAGTTTAAATTAGTCTTTACATAAAATAGAATAATATAGAACTTTTCATCTGGAGGCCAGGGAGATTCGTAATTTGTATATAAGATTTGAGGTTATATCAGCTGTCAAAACTCGAGATAATTGTGAAGCTACTTTAAAAATTCATGCATTCAAATAAAAGCTCTTTATAGTTTGACTCGTAAATGTGGAAATAAATTAAGATGTAATGAGGAAGTATTAAAAACAAAAACGAAAGCACTAAAAAGCACCTCCACTAGATGGCGACTCTAGAAAAAGTTGATTTTTGCAGGAAACGAATGGAACAAAGACAGTCATTTCCGTTCCTTTTAATTTACATATTAAAAAACTGAAATTTGAAAAATTCTAAATTTAGATATCAACACAAATACGAAAAAGTACAAATAGAATATGAGTTGTTTGTTGAGTTTTGAAAACTAATAAATTTTTAAACATGAAAGTAAACTGAAAGGGTTATCATGGAGAAATCAAGAACGTACCGTAGCGATATCTAGTTTGATTTTGGGAACTTTTTTTTTTATACTTGTTCATTGTTAATGTGTACTTTTTAACCTTATGACTAAAGAATATATTTCCGTAGTAGATGAAACGAAACGTAGCAACCGTCATTGTGCAGTCCGAATCGCATTACGGTAGAGCAGCGAACCGTCATTGTAGGGTCCGAATCGAATAAGGGAAACTTTTGAAAATATTTAGCAGCCTAGCAATTTTTAGCTTGATATGAAATAAGTTAAAAATAAACTACATTTTGAAATATATCACATCACTGTCAGTAATGTCAGACGTGTCAGTAAATTTTTAGATCAAAATTGGATATGATTCTTTCGTCGGTTTTACGAAATGCTAATACGACTCCAAGGAAATGCATTATTCGATCATTTATGATGCAATAGAGGTAGAAGTGGACATGTACTGCTTCTAATGCACAGATAATCTTCACTGATACTGATTTTAACAAAATTATGAGAACGATTTCAAAATTATCCAAATTAGCGTTCGTGCACATAGAATAACTGCCTAATAGCGTAAATAATTTTAAATCTTAACTTTAAAATTCCTTGGAAACCTTCACAAATTCTGGCTTTGAATAAAGAAAAATTCAATTTTGGATGTTTATAGGACATTTGTTAAAGAAGGTAGACATTCAAGAAATCTACTACAAATTTTTCGAATATTTATTTATCAATGCCATACTTATTTATAACTAGAATGTTTGCGAATATAGGAAATAAAATACGCTTGGATGATTTCAAAAACTTATTTTTTAGGTCACTTCTTTTAGCAACCTCGCCGAAAATATGAACTTGTTATAATGTTTGTTTTTTAATTGCATAATATAAATTAATGGTTTTGTTCAGCCCTGTAATGATATGTTAAATAATGTTATGAGTCACCTAGTACAACAAAATATAAATATAAACGTGCATGCAGTATAAAATCTTTACATTTAATAGAAACTTAAAATCTGAAAACTTATTAAAGGTTGTTGTTATACTCGTATAAAATAAACTTGATTACGAAACTTTTTTATCCAGAAAAAGGAATTAAGACAATCTTAGTCCAAAAAGAAACGTAAGAGAAAGAAAAAATAAATCTATACTGATGTATAGAGGTAAAGTTTCTAACTTTGTTTGTAGTATGTAATGTTCAGAAATAGTGATCACCTAGGGGAAGCTACATCATACTCGGGTAACGTAAAAATAATAGTCGAAAGTAAAACAAGTAAGTAAAAAGACATAGAAAAAGTAGCATCGATAAAAGATTCAAAATCTAGTCGTCAACCTAGAATATTCAAGATGTAAACTGGTTTAAGTGGGTTGTATGTAATTTCTATAAATAATAATAAAATAAAGAATGAATAACAGGCCGCTGAAATTCTTGAACAACGGCAGTTTCATCGTTCGCCCAAGGTTTCCAAGGTTTCTTAATACTTATATAACACATTATTCTATAAGCAAATGATCAGAACCAACTGCTGAATATACTTTATTTAAAATATTAATTTTGGTCACCCATCCAATGACTGGCCTTTAAAAGTTTTGCTTAACATCTACAATCGCAGACCAAAAGCACTCCTGAGCTCCACCTTATAATAAGCCGTAAGTAATACTGTACCACAAATATAGAGTAATGTAGACACACACAATAGAAAGATTACCCAACCATGCATACGATTGCAAGGCTGGCTGACAACTCAAAATACTTGCGGTTGCTCTTCTCACTGCTACTATCTAAATGTCACTTTATTTAATTTAAATAATTTAACATTAATCAAACATTGTGCAAATACAAAGATTTAGGTTGTTGGCTAATGTTATTTGTATGCAATCCTTGTATTATGTGGAATTAGGATGTCACACAATTGGTATAAAGGTGAAATCATATTGATAGCATTAAATAAAAGGTTACTGTAATAAAAGTTTAGGTGTCTATAACAAACATCATCTACACAACATTGATGTAAGGTTCGGTGTAAATTTGACGAAAGAATCGTCGCGGTACGTCAGAACTGACATTTGCCATTTAACCTTGCTAACTCAACGGACGATTGGCATTCTAATGCATATTTTCATGAGACACTTGACGGATCTTCCGTCAGATTTGCACAGATCCCAACTCATGCCGCGGCAGATGCACCTTGACTAGATTAGACACAATCTTTACACGCGTAAAGTGAAACAGTTATTTTTATAAAAACAGTAAATGAAACAGCAAATCAGGACGAATCAGATTCCATAGTGTAAACACAATATAACAATATCGTATCGTATAGATGATGCCTTTGCCTTAATGTTAATTTTAACGACTTCTAGAGTGCAACCTTGCTCATGCCAACACGAAAACAAATATCTACAAGAACTGTCAAAATAAAAAAACGGCATATAAACATGCCAAAAAGTTTCCTTTGTAATCCCGTAATCACTGATGATCGTGCTCACTCACGGCGAGTCAACCGTGGGTTTTCGAAGCCAAGCGAGCTGTTGGCGAAGTGTTTAATGTGGTCGCTCTTTGACTTTATGCAACTTTCCTAAATATCAGTCATCGATTGAGCGTCAATAACTTTATTTATTTTTTTATGGGATAGGGGGCAGGCGAGCCGACGGATCACCTGATGGTGAGTGATTACCGCCGCGCATGGACACCTGCAACACCAGAGGAGCTACTTCAGAAAGCACTAAGACGTCGAGGTCGGCTGCATCTGTGGTCTTCAGCACCCACCAAGCTGTATAAATCCTGCATGTTCGATGCCCCAACAGTAAGCATATTATTAATCAATACAATATTCGATCCTTGTTGAAAATTAATACGTACCAGCCTCTATACGGTATAGTAATTTTTAAAATACAAAATGAAATGATGTCTTTAAATGTGATTCCACCCTTAACTCATTGGGAAAGTATGAACTTTCGTCAGATCCTGATTTCAACTGAACCTGTTTTTGTTGAATCTGTTATACATCAGCTAATATACGTACCTATTGGTCAACATCGTCTTTCACGAGACCGTTTATTTCTTAAATAATGTATTTCATAATATACGCGATTAAGATTGTACTTGAAATTTTATTCACAACCACCCTCTACACCAGGGGTTCCCAAAGTGATCGATATCAATTGGGGTCCAAATTGACTAAACACATTTTGAGGATCGACGAAGTAAACAAATCAATCCATATTAATGAGGAAGTTAAAAAAAAAATTTGTTCTCAAATCTAACTAGATATCGCCACGGTATGTTCTTGATTTCTCCATGACAACCTGTCCGGTTTTCCTTCATGTTTAAAAGTAAATTAGTTTTCCAAAATCAATAAACAACTCATGTTCTATTGTACTTTTTCGTATTTGTATTGATATCTAAGTTTCGAACTTTTCAAATTTCAGTTTTTTATTATGTTAGTTAATAGAAACGGAAATTACTGTCTTTGGTCCATTCGTTTCCTGAAAAAATCAACTTTTGCTAGGGTCGCCATCTAGTAGAGGTGCTTTAAATGTGCTTTGGTTTTTTTTTTAATTTTCCTCATTAACATACGTCCTTATTTAACACTCTCATGATAAGTTGTGTTATGTGTACCACCTCAATAAGTATAATGAATATTTCAGAAAGAAGTATAATTGCGGTGTTTTTGAAAACTTGGGCAAACTAAGAGCGTAGAAAAGTTTATGCAAGATATTGTGTTGGGTCGTAAAAATTAGAGATAGTATTTTTAAAGAAATTTGGTTATGACGTCTGAGTATGGTCTGAGGTATCTTTTTGGTAATAACGTCTTCCGCACAAAATAGTTTAAAATGCCTGGTCTAGACGATTGACAATAAGCAACGTTGTATGGTCACCTCTGTTGGAACGTTAGTTTGCAAACATTAATTCAATAGTCAACCAAAAACTTGTAACATAAAAACTATTCTTAAATCATAAATATAAATAATCCAACTGTAAAATATAAAAAACACTTTTAAAAACTATGCGTGTAATTATTAGGATACTTTTATGATACTTACACCTAGCCACGAAGGCGACGTCAAGCGCAACTCTGTCCGTCAGAAAGATTCAACGAAATAAAGCCTTTATTACCTTTTAAATAAGGTTATTTGATTGAATCTCTATGTTTTTACAGCAGTACATCAACGTCAAGTTCAAGGTTTTTTTAATAGCAGAATAGCATTACAGATTTCGTTATGCGTCTTTTGACTATGTTCGTCTTATTTTATTGTCATGTCTTTTTGTTGTACACATAAATTGCCACTAACCACCGTTACCTACTCAATTATTTCAGTACCTAAACTTGTAACAAATTATTATACAAAATGTATGATTATGTATGATGATTATTTTATAGTACATACAAAAAACGCGACTGATACGCATAATGCAAGGATCATCGTAAAATTTTATTGTCATTAAAAAATATTTATGAAAATTTAAGTATTTGAAAAATAGGTATATAAACGTCACAAGAAGAAAATATAATATTTAACTGTAACAGTAAAAAAACACAATATTTTTCCAAGCTTCTCCGTGCTTCGGAATTTCAGCGAGCTGCTTTTTACTATTATACTATCCTAAAGTCCAATAATATCAGTGCAATATCTTCCTCACATAGGAAGTCCTAATATATAGGATATATATTAGGACTTCAGGTAGATATTATTTCAGATAGGGTTCTCGCAGCGGGTATTACTTAGTAGGCCGGCCTCGCTTAAGCCTGTCCTTTTCAGGGGGCCAATTCTACTAAATAAATTTTGTTTAAATCGAATCGAAAACGGATCGAAACCGAACGAAACTACAGTTTTTAATGGTTTTTCTATTCTACTAAGTGACATACGATACAATTGCAGCTAAAACAGAACTGAAACTTTAATAGAATTGGCCCCCTGGACGGGGCCGTGGTCGAACAGCCCTGTTTAAAGTTGCATTTCCCCTGCGTTAAAAAAGATACAACAATGGCATAATGCAAGTAGTTGAGATTATATTGGGATGCTATTATTAAGTAAACATTAGTAAAATTCTCCTACTAGATCGGTGTGGTGGGTTATGTTCTGTTCTCCCTGTTAGATTCAATTCGAACCATAGGGATGGCCTGTGCCACAGCAGTGGGACCATTCATTAACTTAAGCAGTTAAACAATAATATCTATTTCTCTATACAGTTACAAAAAGAACTTAAACATACACATATATTAATACATAAATAATTACACTTATTAAATTACTCATAAGACCTAAACATAATATCAAAAAAGTGCGAGTTTTGCTAATTTTCTCTCATCATTGAAATCAGGTAACCATGCATTATGTGAATTCAACATTTCCTTGGGATGAGACCTGGTGACCTATAGGTGAGGTTTATCAAAACCTCTGTTAGGCACCAGCCTCTCACAAAATGTACGAACTGGTTTCTTGTTATTGTATGTACGTAGATTTAGTTTGTGAAGGAAATAAATAAATTTGTTAATTTTTAATAAGAGTTCAGAAAATATCCCCGTACCCCTTTTGTTCTTTTTACACTAAAGAGAAATGCCATAAATAACCACAATATAATGGACGGATTTTGTTGAATCGCCGAGGTCACCATTTTTAATTCTATTTACGAAAAAAACATCCGATCTGGCTGATCGTTCCCCTTCAGGTAGTCAACTGTATTTTTCAACCCAATGCGCCGAGCCCTTCGGAGTTAACGGCTAACATCTCGATGTCACAATTCATGTAGGTGAAATGTGACGTCTGATATAAGAGGTAAAATAAAATTTGACATTGCATAGCAGGTAGAGTGGACAGCCCAAGATGGCGGTGGAATTATTTATTGCGTATTGTTATTGAGTATCGAACATGTACCAAATGAAAGGCTTTAGATTTTTTCAACTTTTATTCAACGTTTGCTTATTCTCATGAGAAAATATGATATTTATTTATTTATATATGTTTCCACCACCAGCCCTTTTACGTCCTCACTGCAGGGGCTCAGGCCTTCCTTATGGATGGTTAAGGAGGATGGGCCATGACCCTCCACGCTGGCCCAATGCGGATTGGAGGGTATTGACGACTGCAAATGCAGCCGGGACCAACGGCTTAACGTGCCTTCCGAAGCACGGAGTAGCTCGAGATAATCATTTTTTTGGTCACCATTTATATTATATACATATATTATATATGTTTACCTGAACCAAATAACATCATAACTATCTTCTATAAAACATCTTATAATTAAATCTCTTATCTTATAGATAATAGACATTAATTAATAATATAGTATAATAACAACATAACTAAGACACAACGAAAAAATATCAAAGTATTTTCTTGGTGTTTAAAATAATCGAACAGGTTAAGCTCATAGACGTATTATTACTGATTTTATCACAAATATCTATATTTAGAATATAGATTGGAACGGGAATATTAGATTTAGCCACAGTAAAGTTATATAGCCTTTCCTAATATACTTATTTTCATTTGCAACAGTGTTATCCATGAATATTTAAAAATTTTCCTACTTCTTATATCCATTCTACGAAATAATAAAATCTGACCTTAAATTACTACCTGCAGCATTGAATAAATGAGTTCAGGTATATATGTATGTACGAATAATTATTTAATTCTGTTTACTACTACGAGGTCTCGACTGCAATCTTGGAAACGGAAGAGCGCTAACGTATTTCCCCTTAATAATTTTTCTGTATACAGAATGTTACAATTTTTATATTATTTTTAACTTACTGCTTTTAAGTTTTCATATCAAATTTCAAAGCAGGGAGGTAACACTACACCTAAACCAGTGACAATATACAAAAGTTAATTTTCTATATTGATCGGAACGGGAATCGAGAAAAAGGGAAGAAGAAAAGAAAAATCATGAAAAAGAGAATTTGAACGCATATAAAACTCGCACTCCAAAAAGTTGTTAAAAATGTTGTCTATACTGCTTCATATGCAAAGCAGCCTATGCTAGTTTATTTTTGAAGCAGGACTGTAGGGGGCTGGAGGACTGTAATTAACGTCAACAGCTGCAGACAACGTGGCGATAATAGTAAAAAAGAATACTTTCAAACAAAAAAATATAATCAATGGAAATATTAAAAAAGATACAAAAAAAAATTCTTCTTTTTAGAACCTTATGGAAAAAAATAAAAATACTTAACTTCAATAAGTCAATTGCCTAGATCGACAACGAAACATCCTGTACATTCTGCGGTTTTTAACATCTTACGTAGACAAAATAATGTACCTCCCAAGGGGCAAATTAGACGTTTCAGAGACAATCACTATAAATAGAGAGGTACATCAGCCCCACATCATAAGTCACTAGGCCACTCGACCATACTCGACATTATTGTTCATACAAATGGTAGGTTATTATCTAGTTTTAGCCTTCATGTAATACGTTTTGTTAGTAAATTCCATTTTTGTTCAACAACTCAAAAATAAACAATATACAACTCCAAAATCAGCATCATTATTATATTTTCTAATTCGGGAAGAGACATTGAGGTGCATATTTTGTGTTGTGATAAAGTTTTCGATATTCAATTTTTTATTTGAACATAAATTATCTATTTATAATTTGAGTGATAAAAGGTAAGTTATTATTTATTTATTGAACTTTATTCACCAATAAAGATGGTACAAAAGGCGGACTTAATGCTAATAGCATTCTCTGCCAGTCAACCTTTGGGAAAACGCTGGATTTGATTAGAAAATAATAACAATGACTCAGGCAAAAGATGTCAATGCGTAAAAATATGTCAATGAGATGTAAGTATCATAAATTACAGTTTTAGGGATCGAGTTATATAGTGACTTGCAACACGAACTAAATTTCATGGTCACGTCGTTTACGTTCCAAATTTAAAAGTTAGCCACAATCCACAAATAACTTAGTTTAAAAACAGAATTACTAATAAAAATATATTTTGTTATGCATTTAGCAGTAGTTTTGGTGTGTACATATTGATAGTACCTATTATTCTGCCCTCCCGAGTCTAAATCACAATAACAGTAAAATTGCGTTTTTGAGTTTTTCACATCACCTGACAGCTCAATTCAAATATTACAAGCCTAACTTTTTATTTATATTTCTTTGTTTATTTTAAAACTATGAAAGAAGTAAGAATTTTTACTAGCTACTAAATTTTAATTAATATAATACCAAATATAACCAAACCAAATAACCAATGAATATGCAGTAACAGCTCACTTTACTGCTTTTTAAATAGTTTAAAAAACGATTTAGCAAAAACTAAAAGCAGTTTGTGGTGTTAAAAATGATAATGGCTGTAATTATTTTATTTTTCATATTTTCAACGTTAATGGTGTAACTTTTCTTACACTTTGCTTTAAAAAATATCCATAGACAGTGATTTGTTTTTGCTATTACAGCGGTTTTAGGCTTGGGACGGCAGTATTTTGGTATTCGATGTATTTTTTCATTTTAAATATAGATAATCTATAGGAGGGTATGGTCTGGGTTTCTTTTATCTACGAGTATTCTCTTCTATAAACAATACAAATGGGTAAAAATCTTCACTTAAAATACACAATTTTTTGTATAGCAAAAAATTTATAGCTCTGTCGATTAATTCACTTGTTAATCTTTTTACAGCCAACACCACATCTGTTAATAAATACAAAAATGTTACATTTCTTAATAAATTATAAGCATAAATATAGTTCAAGTACAATATAGACTATGGAAGTTTGATATTTAATATAACTTTGTGTACATGAATTGACATTGCCTTTAATTGACATATCCACTAGTATTGTTTTAATTGCAGTGTCGTCTTCAAGGATACTTCACGGCTATTTAACCTAGTAATAAGAATATTATGACCCCTTACCACACAAGCGAATCTTCATAATACTATTTAAATTTTCGTTTGAAATTAAAATGTGTTTTGATAATTTGACAAAGTTTCTCTCTATATTTATTTTATAAATAGGAGAATTTTTATTGTTTGTATAGAAACTACATAATTCGCGGGTGATACAGGCTATAATTCAAGCGGGTGAAGTCACGGGAAAACAGCTAGTCTTACAGAAATTGACTGAGACTGAAGATTTTTTAAATTATTTTTTAAAGATATTATTACATAATAACTGTGTACATAGGGAAGCCAATAACGCGTTCTGTCTGCAATGCGGAGGTTAAGCTTCTTTCGTAGAGGTCGGTCCTAGGATGGCAACCAAAAATATAGTATTGAGCTCTTCTATGCTTCGGACGGCAAACTTAGTCATTGTTATAAGAAATATGAGTCTTATTGGTAAATTGTTAAGGACATTTTCTAAAAGAAGGTAATTGGGGGTAAATTTTTGTTTCCTCTCCTATCCTGTGTTTTTTTAATAGCAGCGCACACTTTGTTCATATCGACGCTGGAAAGCAAACACGTAGTAACCCGTAAAACCAAAAGTGTTATTCAGAACACAAAAACTTTTATTTTTTTTCGATAAATAATTCCTATAAACGTTCATGGTAACAAATAAGGTATTCCTTAGTCAATTTATACGGAAATAAGATTTTACTTTTGGAAAAATATAAAGATTTTCCTCTTCAAATGCCCATTTTGGTTTTGCAGGTTATTACGTGTTTGCTTTCCAAGGTCGATATGATTCTACATATGGACCTGATTCTGAGTAATTAGAGTAGGATTTCTGAGTAAGCTACCTGATCAGTCTTCTCTCTCTTCTACACCGGGGTTTGTGTGACACTCTACCCGCACGGATCCGCCTGAACAGAGGCAGTTCCACCTAAGGGTTTAACGGACTTAAGCCTAGGGCCTCGTGCACACAAAGGGCCCTTAATCCCCACTAAAATAAATATACAATACGGCACTTTTATATAAGGAACTATTGAAAACACTTTCTAAGCAAAATTAAATTCACTTCAGTAATAGTGCCCCTGATTAGTACTAGCCTAGGCCCCCACAAATTCACGATCCGCGTCTACGCACGAAAGCTATTCTAAACGCATATGCAATAGCCGATGCGTTCTCACTCTTTAAGGAAGAGCCTAGGAACCAGCAAGATCTGCTCCACACCCAGCCCCCTATGAAGTATGTATCTAACGAGGTAATAAATTCTCCAATTTCAGATGGCTGCGAAATATTTTATTGCGTTGTGCCTGGTTGTGGCTGCAGTCGCTCGACCCAGTGATAAGTACACGGATAAATATGACAACCTAAATCTGGACGAGATCCTGGAAAATAAGAGACTGTTGCTAGCGTACGTCAACTGCATACTCGATAAGGGCAAATGCAGTCCCGAAGGAAAGGAACTCAAAGGTAAAATAATGTTGCGGGTAAAAAAAGCTTGTTTTAATTAGTAACTTCTCTAACTTGAATAGCATCTCACACCAAAATCCTTGCCATATTAAATTACCCTAAACTCGATGAGGTTGCTTCGTTTAATTGTAAAAATCTAAAATACAAATATCGCCATTTTAACATAGTGTTGAATGTTTTGAATTTCTTACTTATAGTTTTTATATCTCTGAACTAGCAATCAGTGTTGCTTGCTGGTCAAAGTAATAACAAATAACTTTAGTCCATTAGCAAAGTAACAAACCATTAAAGCAGTGGCATTGAATAAAAATAACATTATTTAAAACTACTTATATAAAAACAGTTTTACTTTTTATGTCAAAAATACTAATGATACCTAATTTGAGTTTATTAAAAAAAATTAATGATTCGATTATTAATTTGTCAACAATAATTTTTCATAAAAAAAAAATAATCACCCCCCCTATACATGTCGGGGAGACACAGTTTTTATTTCTTTTTCGAAATTTTAATAAGTGTGTATAGTCATGCCAAATTACAACTTTTTTTGTACCTATAACTTTTGAGCCGCGCTGATAACCGCGGACGGACAGACGTACATGACGAAACTATAAGGGTTCCTTTTTTATAACGAAACCCTAAACAGAATAAATATTCTATTATTTGTTGTGATTGAATAGGTTACGAAAGTGATGGACCGATTTAAAAAAATATTTACCCTACCGCCTACCTAGAACCTACGTGATGCGTAATTTACACGGGTAAAATCCGGGAAAACAGATTTTATATGAAACCGTAATTTTCTCAGCGAACCATTTCATTTGATAACTATATAATAAGAGAGGAATGTAACAAAACCGCCATCTTGGTTTTTAGAATGAAGCTATTTCATTTTATAACAATGATGTATTGATGTTATCTTAACTAAATCACAGAATGCATCTAAACCAGCATGCAAAATTTAACTGTTATAAATAAGATTCAAATGTAAGATTTGACTAACATTATATTACAAACAATGCAAGTTATGAATGATAATAATAGATAGCGTTAGTAATGCAATTTGATTTTAATATTTATGAATAATAAATAGCATTCAAATTAATTTAAAACACTACTTTTTATTTTTCATCAGTAGAAAGTAGGAGTTCAAAACATGCAAAAATCGTAACTTCTATTCTACCATAAAAATCGTTCTTTTCTGCTTGCTTTACAGAACATCTTCAAGAAGCCATAGAAACAGGCTGCGCGAAATGCACAGAAGCCCAAGAAAAGGGAGCGTATCGCGCCATAGAGTTTCTGATTAAGAATGAACTAGATATTTGGCACCAGCTCACAGACAAGTTCGACCATGAGGGCAAATGGCGTAAGAAGTACGAGGATCGCGCACGGGCCAACGGCATTGTCATTCCAGAATAGGCCTAGACTTTCGCCTAAAACAACATAGATTATATAAAACCTTTTTGTACCTACATTAAAAATATACTATTGTTTTTAAGACTATTTGTTTTTTATTTGTTTACAATTTCAAGAAACTTATTCATAGTCCAAAAGGTCGTGACAATAATATGCAAGAGGTTTCTAAATCTTTATATTTTGATGTACTAAGGGTATACAGTACTTACTACCTAGTCCAGAGGTCAAGTGCTAGTTTTTTAATAGCTTAAAATTACTGAAAACTTATTCTTAATATAAAAAGTAGACTAAACTGCTTAGACTGCACAATAGTGAAATGCGGCGACTCAACAGATCTCAAAAGTTGATTTGAAATTGAGCTCCGAAAAAGAAGTTCGTATATGATGATTGAAAATTAATTGATAACTAAATTATTAGTTGTTAGTTCATAAACGAATAGAGTTTCATTAAACGGATGAAACATGATCAAACATATATAAGTAATCACTAGCAGTTTGTTTCGCGCTGCCGCTTTCAGCATGCTTACTGATGAATATTGCGTGATTATTGAATGAACATTGAGTAGTATTGTTTTATGACATTAAGAGTCAAGAGTAACCTGTGGGTAATCCAGTGCCTGACTGCTACGCTTGGTATTGGGTGATAAAAGTAAATCAAATTGAAATGAAAACATTTATTGACCCAAAACAAATACATAAATAACAAATAGCAATAACTAAAATAAAAATGAAATGCGTTTCACGGGCCAACTAGGAACCAAAAGCCTAATTGTTTAATTTTAATACCGATTGCAATCAACTTGATATTTGAAAGAAATTCACGCTACAACCATTTGACATGAGATAGTAATTGGGATCATAAGGTTTTGAAGGATATCGCTAATTTAACATTATTTGGGATAGACGTAAATATGGAATAGACGTAAAGAATCCGACGTAAATATTACTGAAAGTTTGTTACCAAGATTTTATTGTGTCTTTTGGTCATTCAAATCATCATTTGTTCCAAAAGCGATTGCAACTTTAAACCTTACATTATTCCAGAAATCACTGTCATAATCGATTAGCCTTTAATAGGGACTGCGATGGATTTCCAAATTAGACAATTGGCCACTGTTTTAGCAAATACTGCTAAGATTATGATATCGCAGCAGCGATGGTATTTTTTTTTTTCTGTTTATTAGGGATGTTTGCTTTCCATCGACATCATGAATATAGTTAGTGAAGCGATTTGACTTTATTGTCTACGGTCTAGGTGTTTTAATAATTTTGTTAATACAGATTTCCATAACTCAAAATGCTGTAGCTTAGGTACTTGCTTGATTTTACTTGAAGTATGATACCTACGATACGCCTTATATTTTTTTCTTGTTTATGTTGTTTATCTAAAAATTATTTTTAAGAGAAACATAAAACTTCTTTAAGTAAGGATCCAAAGGTTAAATAAATACATTAAAAATATTAAAAATGCATACTATTTCAGTAATTTCGTGTTTCATTTTTAATTACAGTTACTTTTTATCAATAGTGTATTTAAGTTGCAAAATAATGAAAATTAACAACAATTTAACATTATATGTCATAGCAATCATGCACATTTACACTTTTATAAAAAGATAAGGCGCAGTCGTATAAAGTATTTTTTTTGTAAGTTATTGACTAACGATATCGTTGAGTGAATGATTTACTTTACGTTAATTTGGTTAATTTAAATTGTATAAGTAAACGTAAATGCAAATATCTCTGAAAGCTTTTGAGAAATGTCAAACTAAACAAAGTTGTAAGCTATCTACAATCTTTCGACGGGTTCGGTAGTTTTTGTTCTTTTTTAAAAACTCAGATCATTATTTGTTTCTAAAGCAATTTTCAGATCATTATTTGTTTCTAAAGCGACTTAAAATTCCAAAACTCATTATAAAAATCGCTAGGTCTTTGAAAGGTATTGTGACAGATTTAATAGGAATACTCCGCTGGAATGTGCCTGGTTCAAACCGGGCACTTGAGGTTATAAGATTGCGCTTTAAAAGGGGACGTAGAGGCAAAACAGTAATCCTGTCCATCTCGAACCGGTAATGTAGATAGAGGCATAGGATGACGAGCTTCAATTAATTTATATATCATCATCATCACTAGCCTTTTAATGTCCCCCTTCTGGGTACAGACATTTAAACTTGGACCCGAGACTCTGTCATCCGTCTGTCTGTCCATTATTACCGGCTACACCAGCACCATAACAATTACTAAAAAAACATAATCTAATAAATATGTAAGGGGACTCCCAGACAACAAACCTGTTTTGCTGGTTTTTGCTCTAATATGAATTACGGTAAAAAGTAGACGCTTATAATATTCGCAGATTAATTATTTATATATATTGCTCTTCAAATATAAATAATTAAAAGCTCCCCATATAACAGAATATTTTTTTTGCTGTTTTATTCATAGATAATGGTAGGGGGTTCCCTACTGTAACGTCCGAGCACATTACTATTGGTAGGTTTACTCTTCGGACGGCTTATGGTAAATGCTGGTATTTATATTTTAAATTATTACTTTTCGTATTCGAATTCGCGTGTTCGTGTTTTAATGCTTTCTTTTCTGATAGTAGTATTTCGTTGTTAGTGTTTTTATGTTATAATATTCGAAAATAAAATCAAGACTGAAGAATTCTACCAGTTTTTCATTGCGCAACCCATCTCCACCATTAGAATTAATTTATCAGATGGTCATTATCTATGTATGTGTGCGTGTTCGTGCGCAGTTCCGAATTGCACTTTTTATAATTTTAAATGTATTTTTGGTTTGTTTATTGTCTTTAGGTTGGGTAGATTGATGGAACATTAATGAAAATACGCTTAATAGCACCTTTAAGTTGATTCTCGATAAATTAATCAGTCCTGTTGGGTCTCCGTTAGCACAATATTTAGAACAGTCGGCTAAATTGCGAAAAGTTGCTAGTTCGAGTCACACCTCGAGCTGGTGAATTTTTTATTGAAAATATTTATCGAAATGAGATAATTAAGAACGAGAAGGCTACATTGTATAAAGTCAAATGAGACATATAATCGATTGATATAACCGTTAATAATCTATGAGAAGGTTACAATGTATGTAACAGGTTCAATTTGAGATAATCACTTTTAATTTATATTTATTACTATTACCTGCTATAAATAATGAGATAAACAGTTCTTAGCTACTGAAACAATAGAAATAAATGAGGAAGTATTAATAAATATTATTAAATATATATCACAAAATTTTCGATTCATTTCGGTAAAGATGAAGTCAAAATACAAAAAGTTTTAATTATCACGCGTAAGAATAAATATCAACCTATTACTTTTTATTTTTTATCTTGAAGCAATAAGTTATTTATGCAATATCCTTTACTTGTTTAAATTACTAATCCAAAACTTATTTTAAGTTTGTTGAAGATGATTTACTGGGGATAAGACGTAATAGAATTTAATGCAGCGATATCTAGTCTGATTTCTAGAAGTTTTTTAAATACTTCCTTATTAGGAAAGTCATTGAAAAGTAATATTAAATGGTATTCATTTGTTAATTAATAAGGAAATATGAGTTTTAATGTTCATGTCAGGGCTGTAATGTAGGAAAATCATCCACGATCTGTCTATGATTTGAACAAACTACCATGTTTAATAACCCCCTTTCAAAAACATTTATTACAATTTGACTTGTGAACGAGTTTAAGATACATACCTACGATCTCTTATGATATAACTATCTTTATTTAATATTATACTTATATGCGTTAATGACATATCTGTATGTTGCGCTATCATGCTTAAACCACTAAAGCGATTTTAATGCAATTTGTTACAGGGGTAAAGTTAGCTTTGAGTAAAGATATATGCTGTTACCTTTTTTCGTGAACAAAAAAAATAGTTTAAGTGATTAGAAAGGGGGTTAAGATAGGCGAAGGACTTTAAAGAATGTGAAAGGGGAAAATTTTCTACGTTCTCACTATGTATTAATTTGTTAGATCGTAAGGCATTATCTTGCAGAAGCCTATTGCCATTGCTGTGAACTAAACTCTCGTTAGGGAACATGTAGCTGACGTTAAGCATAGGCGCGAAAATAAATCTGCATGTGGACACGCGATAGGAGGACCCAAGCATTACATAAGGTTTGACAACCCCAAAATACTCGTGGTTGAACAAAAAGCATTCCTAGAATGATCGCGAGGCTATTGAAATAATAAACATCCGAATTTTAATAGAAATGAAAGTTAGCATATACCACCGGCCCAAGCCGGTGTAGTTTCAGTAATTGGTCAAATAAAATCTGAATCCAGATCACACATTCCACAACAAAAAGATGCAGTTAGTCAATCTGCAATTCACTTTTTCTTCCCGGAGTTTATTTTGCCAGTTCTTCTCAAAAAAGACTGACAAAGTTAGAAATGGTGGTATTAACGTTTCTATAATATATACAAAAAATGTATTGTGAATGTGACCAATAGTATACTTTTAATTAAAAGACAATCAACATCTTATTCTTATATGAACATGGAACCTATAAAGGGTCTGAAACTTCAATAAAACTAAATATAAACGTGATGAAACTGTTTAAAAGTTGTTTCATTTATCAAAAGTACTAATTAATTAGCATATCACGAAGGGTTTCTGTTAATGCTCATCTTACGTAACCCTGAGACAATAGACGGACATAAAGTGTATTTTCCGCAACAATTACATTACTAACTACCCATTGCACTATAAATATAACTGATTTTCATTTGATAAACAGTATCTTTCCAGATCATTAGCAAACTGTAAGTGTTATCATTTAGTTTTTCCTTCGTGAAGAATTTTTAAGTTGATTCAAATTGTGTATAAAACAAGTGTTTATTATAATTCACTTATTGCCATTTGTTATTGAACAAACATATAAATTTTTATTCCTTCGAGAACTAAGTAATATTTCATCAGCTTAATTTAGATCATTTTTATAATAAAAAATAATGTTACACTGATTCTCCAAAAGAGATTGCCACGTGACAATAAAACCGCCTTTTACATATAGGAAAGTAACGAAATATGGAATGGTATCCATGAGATGGACTGCTGAAATTCTTTCCTAATCTATTCTTTACAAAAAATAAACTAAATATTCTTAAATACACCAAGCAAATTCGCATGCAGATCGCGAATTTGGTGGACTTATTATAAATTCCCTATAATAGGAACTAGAAAATTGAAATTTCAGTATTACGAAGAATACTATTCCACGTTTGGTAACTTTCCTCTGCTCAATTTTCTTACTTCTTCATAATATGCTCTGTATAGTGTGCAATAGATGTCAAAAATATAAGTATAAATATTTATTTACTTTCTATCCAGTGCCTAAATACAAAGTTTCATGTTTTTATATTCAACGGTGACAACACTTCATATAAATATTTACCTCCAATTAAGTCTACTTTTGTCTTATGTTCTTTCTTCCATGGTACCCTCTATCTCTTAAATTGGTTTAGTACTAATTTAGGCGTGGAAAAGCCAGTTACATATACAGAAACTTTTTCACTTTGGTATTACAAAATTAAGTATGGATTAAGATTATTTAGGATATGCATAGACTTGATTTTCATATCTTAATATATATAACTCAAAGGTGACTGACTGACATAGTGATTTATCAACGCACAGCCCAAACCACTGGACGGATCGGGCTGAAATTTGACATGCAGGTAGATGTTATGACGTAGGCATCCGCTAAGAAATGATTTTGATCAAATTTAACCTCCAAGGGGATAAAATAGCGATGACAATTTGTATGAAACTTCGTCAATTTTAAACCGATCGAGCTGAGACTTTGCATGCATAAAGCTACTATAACGTAGGCATCCCCTAAGAATGCCTACGTTATCTTTTAGGATTTTGATAAATTACACCACTAATAGGATAAAATAGGGGATGAAACTTTTATTTTAGGTGTTTTGTTGTTGAAGCGGCAACAGATATACATCATTAGTGAACATTATTACAACTGTCCAACTTTCACGATTTATTATATACAGCCTGGTGACAGACAGGCATACAGCGAAGTCTTAATAAAGGAAAGAGGCAAAATTCCAGTAACACTGAATATTGTATTTTTTGTTACAGTTCAAAATGAATCGTTTTATTGTAATAACGGTGTTGGCAACAACAGCCTTATGTCTGGCGCAAGAGGAACATTATACTGATCGTTTTGATGGCGTCAATGTTGATGAGATCACAGCTAACAGGAGACTGCTGGTGCCTTACGTCAGGTGTGTGCTGGATCAGGGCCGATGCACAGCTGAAGGCAAGGAGCTGAAGTGTGAGTAGCAATTTTTATATGGTGACCAAGGGGGCTATTTGTGTAATTTTAAAATCTATCGTAAACCCTTTAAATTTTATATTTGAAAAATATATTATGAAAGATATGTTTAAATTGCTGTTAATTTACTGGAAGTGTTCAAGAAAAGCGTCAGAGTTGAATGCTATCTATGCTAGTCTTGATTCTAGAATTATAAAGAAAAAGAAAAAATATATCCTCTTTTATATTTGTTACTGATGAATTACGTCATACGTATAAGTTTAAGTGTATCATCATAAAAAGGATAATTTATAAGCCATTCCGGTTTTAAAAGATTTAACATTCTTATCAATAATTACCTAGTCCAGCCATAACTTCTGTTCCAAAAAAAAATCCGATGTTTCTAAACAAATTATTTTATTTTAAAGTTTTATATGTACAGTGGAAAAGATATCTTAACGTACTAAACTAGTTATTCAAAGTGTCCAACCCTTAGCTTTAACCCACGTTTTTAAAAGGTCGGGCCATTCGTCAATGGATTTACGAACGGTTTCCATTGGAAACTGCTGCTTCCCAAGATTTCTTGAGCGACTCAATATTTGGGTGACGCTTAGAGCAGGTCATGTCCTCTAGCACAAACCACAATTTATAGTCCAAAGGGTTTTAGTCCGGAGTAGCCGAAGTAGGCCAATCTCTCGGTTGGCTCCTTATCTACTTTGTACAGTGCAATTACTGTAATCCTGTTCTCTTTAGTACCCTACTCCATTTTCGAAACAAATAATTTCTAAACAAAAAACATAAGTTTATTTTTTATCGTAGAAGCTAATCTTCAAAATTCAAATTAATGTTTTTTTTAAATATATATAACAGCCAGTTACAAAATTTATGGCAAGACTAGGAATGTCACTTCAAAGCTTATGTGACATTTTCGTAACAAATTAAAATTTTTATAATGAAAATATCTGTCTCTGACTAGAATATCTAAATACAAAGTTGGTTTGAGGTTGGAGTTTATATGCAAATGATCAATTCATTATAATTACATTGGAGAACAATAGATAAATTAAGTCATGCTTATTTTAATAATATAGGACTTCAGTTAGATAGTAAATTAGTAGTAACAAATCAAGGTATAAGCATAATTATTAGTGTTGGACTAAATGTCACACATTCAGAGTAAATTATGATGTATTAAAAATTCCATGTGATGGCACTTTACCAAATTATGATTCCTCATTCGACTAAAAATATTGTTACTTTGTGAAAAGTCACGTTCTTTACACTCGCTTTTCACTTCCTTGACGTTCAATAATCGTCTCACATATGCTCTCTAAATTTTACAGTTTATTACATCATCATTCGAAAACTTGCCACCATTTTGACCGTGAAAGACGTGTCTGTGTGGCCTTACTTCTAAATTCTTTCCCGTTACATATTAGAACCATTCTTTCATCCATAAATCTTTTTAAATATCCAAAACAACGGAGCAACTTAAAGTTTTTTAATACTAGTGAAGTACTCGATACTAATAAAAACGATAAAACATTTTCAAATTATTGTTTATCTTCCAAAGTTCATAATATGGATGGCTAAAATTTTCTTTTATTTCAGTACATGTAAAGGATGCTATGCAAACCGCTTGCAAAAAATGTACAGATAAACAAAAAGAGGGAGCCAGAAAAGTAGTAAATCACATAAGAGAGAAAGAGTTGGAATATTGGGAACAGTTGATAGCCAAATATGATCCTACAGGTGAATATAAGCCGATATATGAACCTTTTCTTGCTGGAGTAGAACCAACAGAAATAAATATTGCCAACAATTCAACTGAAGCAACTGATGTACAGACAACCGATTTAGTTGGAGAAATAAACCCAAATGAACCTGTACCAATTGAACAAAAGAATGCTGATTTAGTGGAAACAATAAAAACTGAATCATTGGAAATTAAAAAAGCCGAATCAGTTCAAGACACTAAAACTGATTTAATACATGAATGAAGACCTAAATAAATTTGGCTGTTTAAATAACAGATGTTAATTAAAATTGATATGCGATTATTTATTTTAGCTATAATGTTCAAATTAAATAATACAGTCTTTACATGAATTTTTCTTTAAAAGGATACTACTGATAAAACGCCTTCTATGTCCATACCCGTTCATATCCACAATTTTAACATTGCCAAGTATATATTATGGCCACATACCATATTTAAGGATTCTTTCTAATCATATATATATGGGCAAATAATGCGATTTCCTCGTACGGAATGAAAGGGTTTACTTGTACAATTTTGCAGATCTAAGGTCCCTTTTTGAGTACTGATACAAATATTCCGGGTGCCCTTTGCTTCGCCTAAGATTATAAGTCCTAATTTAACATGGCCGAACTGTATTGGCCTAAACTTACAACGTATAATTATTGTTTAGCCTAACAGTTGTTTTGACACTATCATAGTTTGGTCTCAGAATTGAAAGCCCTAATTTTAGAATTCCTAATATGAAATCCACTAAAATATATTGGCATATCTTCATTTCGCTTAAATATTAAAAGATCTCATTTTAGCATTTCTAATCTTAAATGTGCAAAAAAGATGAGGTGGCCTATGAGCTGAGAAGCAGGTGGTCTTAACTACCACAGTGGGCGGAAACCATCTGCGACGATAAGCTCGCGTGGGACCACCGGAGCCCCGCAGCGCCGTAGCCGTGACAGAAGCCATGCGTGCTGCATGCTTGATTGCGTGCTGCATGCTTGCCTGCATGCTGCATGCTTGCCTAAGTAATTTTGCCTGATAAAAACGTTAAGGCGTTTTATACTTTCGTGCGTTTTAATTTTGTGCGCATTACTATTTAGTAATTGCGAGGAGTAGGGATAACAGATTGTTCCGCCTAATGTCACATTTGGTAAGTTACAATAAAAAGTTACGCGAAATGATATTAGATTAAACACCATCAGGAATATTAAAATTGTGCGAAAAAAATTTAGGCTGAATTAGGAGTACAAAAAATTAGGCGACCCAATATACACCCAAATATGCCACATACTTACTAGAAATGTTATCTCAAACTGGTATTCACATTTGGTTTGTTATGTAAATAATCATTTTTATTTTAGTGAAATCTCTCAGCATTTACTTCATTTTACAGACAGACAAACAGTAATAAAATTAGTGACTGTGATTCAAGCACATATCTATTACGATTCAAAAGATACAATAACAAAAGTTGGAAAAATACATTAATCCTTATAGGAAGACCCTTAGGATAGCTTGTCGTTGACGCCCTTAGCAAACTCAAAAGAAAAACACGTTAAAGTTTGCTAAACTTCTTTTATTTCCGAAATTATATCTTTAATACTAATCACAGTCTATCATGTTGATCAAGCTTTAGCAGCTGTAAGTTCGTCCTCATACTTTTTCACGTATTTCTTCTCGGGGTCGTATTTGTCCACCAGTTTCTGCCAGTACTCCTGCTCGTGGTTGATCAGGTGACCGATCACTTTTCGGGTGCTAGTTTTCTGTACGTCAGTACATTTTGCGCAATAATTTTCAAGAGCCTCCCTAATGTGAGCTGTAAATAAAAATTATACGTCAAATATTTTTCGAAATACATAGTACTTCTTCTCAATCTTTGTTCCAATTTGAGTTGATCTTGATTTGATTTAGTTTGTTAGAAGATCTATTAATGACCTAGCTCAAATCACTACTGGCATCAAAGACAAAATATTTGACTGTTTGTTTGCATTAAAAAGGCTCCAAACCACTGAACCAATTAAAAAAAAAACTATCCTATACGGGAAGCTACATCATACGCCGGTGATATGGGCTATAATTTACGCAAGTGAAGTTCGCGGGAATATAGCGAGTTAGAGATAACTTTATAATTTTACCGTCCAAAACTCAATCATCTGGAAAAATACGTATTTTTATTGTTTACAATAAATTTATATTTATTAGCTTAGTCGATGGTATTCGGCGAGATTCGAGCGCTTTCCGTAGAATTTTTTTTATCAGTCATTATTTTTTCACGAAACGGTGTTAGGGTGGCATTTCAATTAACTAATAGGTACAACTTATTTATTTTCACGCATTCTCCTGTTCAATGGCATGTAGCGGACAAGTGTCGCTCTTTATAAGATACTTAAAAAAACAATTTTCTCTTTTAACTGGATATTTTTTGCATGTATCCATTATCAAACATTTTTTTTTAAAGAGTAAATTATCGAAGTCGTTTCAGTATAGTTTTGCTTTAATTACAACCTTAAATCATCAGTAGTTTGATTATATCATGTGGCTTTAATTACCCCATTTATCAATAAATATTTAAAAATAAATACCTATGTTCATTTTATTTTTGTAGAAAAACCTTCTTTGCAAATTCGTTTGAGCAAAGTAAAGTAAACGAAATCTCACGTATCGTACATTATTTGTCATCAAAGTTAATTTTAGTTATTACTCGGCGAATAGCGTAATAATAAATAAAACATTGCTATCGTTTGCGGAATAATGTTATGTTAAACATTCAAGTTTGTAAGTGGAACATTCCATTTGTCAATAAGTTTGTTATGTTTGCCACTAGCTATATAATTAATAATAAAAAAACCTTTTTCTATGTTAGTACAACGATGATTCATAATTACTCGCATTTTTTTGGAAAAACAATATTAAAACAATTTATATAAACAATTTATATAAGTGTCATATATGAATTTAATACAGATATCTTACTATAGTCCCTTGTAAGGAGAAGTAAATAAATAAATCTGAATAACATAATATAATAGATATAAGAGACAAAAAATATTATTAGTTTTCAAGGAAGTCTTCACTTGTGCAACAAAACATTGTCAAGTGCGAGCTTTGGATGTGGAATATTAAGGTTAAGTTAAACACAAAGCGTAGAATACACTGTGAATAGGGGATTTTGAAAGAAAAACATTTTATTTAGATAAGGAGGAGTCTGAGTCAAAGGTGGGAAATAATGGAATAAAGGAGCGTAAGAATATATAAGTCTGTGCCGGCGAAAAGAAAAAATATCGGTGTCCTAATTAAACCAAAGTGTAATATTTGTTTTATATGAGAAAGTATACTTACACCTCAACTCTTTTCCATCGGGGGAGCACTTTCCCTGGGCTAGGACACATTTGAGATAAGGAACTAACAGTCGTCTGTTGCTGAGGATTTCGTCTAAGTTAACGTTATCATATTTATTCGTATATTGCTCTGGCCGTCCGGATACCACAGCCACCACAACGAGTAAGCACAAAACTGATAAAGATTTCATCCTAAAACAAATAATTATATATAAAAAAACATCACATAATCATTAAAAAAAGTTGTCAAAATTTTAACAAGTCCATTCCTAGAATAATTCAATCAAATCATTTACAGTATTGGTTGTTATTAACTGAAAAGTGTTTGGAAATCGAAAAAAATAGCGCCGGTTCGTAAATCTACAATATAAGATCTTGTACTGACATAATACCGGTAAGAAATAAAAAAAGAATAAAAGTTCTTTTTCATACAGAGATAGTTGACTTCACAAGTATGTAGTTCCATATTTTTTAATTAGATAAAAAAACATAGTTTTACATATTTAATTTTAGTTCCAACAATGTTCCTCCCGTTGGGGCATATAAGTCTTTTCTCTAATAAAACAATAAATTTTCAGTCAACCATCCGCAAATTTTGAAAGTAGCTGAATCAGCGCGGATCGATTTACATTGCGCTCCACCAAATAGACAAAAACAAAGCTTAAAATAGTTCTTTAAAAAAACTTATTTTAATCCAAAATATAATTTGATTTAAATGACGTGAATTTAAAAGAGGTTGAAGTATAAAATTTTCGTAAACTTACCTACTTAAAGTAATAGTATTATTATCACAGAAGTTTATTATTTCAAAGTCTAGTAACGAATGACCATGGACAGGTGTATCTTGCTTGTTTTATACCAAAAGGACATTGGCTTTAACCCTAACGACAACATCACGAACGGGTTTCGGCTTCTGTGAACTTGACACGAAGCAAATGGTCCGAGGAAGTTTTGCGTCAAGACTACGTGGGGTGTTTCCGCACAACAAATGACATGTATAAATTACTGATGATATTAATAAAATGGATGTATGTGTCATCAAAACATTTCTTATATCACCTTTTACTGTAACAATAATAAATTAGAACATAAACTATCATTTTTATTATAAAACTATGAACGCTTTAGATAGACATGAGATGTTAATTGTTTTCTACTGCACCTTAAAAAAATATAAATACCTTAAAAAAATTTAAGTCTTAACATATATATATTTTAAAGAAAATTGAATGATCAGTAAATAGTTTATAACAAAGACGCTTTCTGTCTGTCCCTATTTATGCTTAGGTCTTTAAAACTACGTTAGGTACGGATTTTGATGCGGTATTGGTAATAGAGAGGATGATTCAAAAGAAAGATTTTTACGAGTATGTATAATATGGCGGGCGATGGCGACGGCGGAAAGCTAGTATACTTAAAAAATAAATAAGAAATACGCGATGTTGTTTAATTGGACGACATAATTATATCATATTAATTTCTTAAAATGAAACTGACCTCAAGAGGTTCAAATTAATTAAAAAAATATTTATAATTTAAAATATCTTATAAAACATCTTATTTATTTGTTATTTGGAGGAATTCTTCCGATTATTTTGTCATTAAAACAAAACGGATTTGCTTCGATAAAAATTATAACAGCACCTCAGACTTATAAAAAATTAGAAAAACAATCTACATTTCACAAAGACATCGGTGAATCATCATCAACGTATTTTTAATAGAACCGACTCAGGTATCTGGCCGGTTCGGTTAAGTATTTTTAAGATACATATGAAAAATTGTGTTTGCTCTTTGAACATATTAAAAAAAAATTTGGGGAGTTAAGAAACAATACACAATAGAACATGAATCTAAAAAAAGTTTGTCTTTTATTTGTGCGTCTGTTTGTACACGCTAATCTCCAGAACAACTGAACGGATTTGCCTGAAACTTCTTTTGTTACTATAATAATCATTTTGGAAATACTTGATGTAGAACCATGACAGACCAGCTAAACTATAAGAGACAAAAAAATGCCCCCCCTAGCAAAAATTTATGTACATGATGAGACATCAAAATTTGAAGATCTGTTACATATGATGTGGAAGTCCACATTACATAAAGAGACCAGTTACACTATAACATAGTATCAAAATGACGTCTTAGCAATACACAGTTGTTTCTGGCATAAATAGTTATTGAGTCTGATGAGCACTTTCGATTGAATTACAAAAATTATAGATCTGCTACATTTGTTGTGGAAATCATAGCTAATACAAAGACAAGAGCTAAGAGTACCTCCATGCGGTGAAGGCGGTAACAGTTTATTTAGCCTTGTTTTAATTAACGATGCTTATAACCATGTGCTCCCTATCGTGCTGATATTTTAAACCAATATATTGATGAGGGTATTATCCCCGATCTCATGAAATTTACTAAAGTCATTTGTAGTCATTCATAATCATTCGAAGCTGGTAATATACAGGATCCTAGTTATTATAGACCCATTTTGGTTCTACCGACACTAAGCAAGAATTTTGAAACACTTATTGTGGAACAACTAATATCCTACTTTAATTGCAACGAACTTTTGCATACGAAGCTATACGGTTTTACCAAGTGTCGTACGACAACAGATGCGGGTGTTGCGCTACTGAGCATATATTTAAAGCATGGGAAGGATCTCAAAACGCTCTTGGAGTTTTTTGCGATCTTTCCAAATTGATTGTGTTCGCCTTCGATTGTGTTGAGCATCAGACACTGTCGTCTAAACTGAATTACTACGGTATTTAAGGTGCTGCTCAAAACTAATGCTGTCGTATCTTAGTTCCAAAACACAAACGGAGCGAAGTCGTAGGGGTCTCATGTAAAAATAGGCGTTCCCCTAGGTTCTATCTTAGGACCATTTCTATTCCTAATACATATAAATGATTTACTATTTTTTGTTAAAAACCTATGTGAGATCGTGTCGTTTGCAGATGACACTTCATTGATATTTAACTATTGACAGAAATAAATATAATTTTGACAATGTAAACAATGCTCTCTCACGTGTGTTATCTTGGTTCACGATTAATAATCTTCAATTGAATGCTAAAAAAACCAAATGTATAAAATTCACTTTACCTAATGTAAAAGTAGAACCAGCTGAAATTAAACTCAACAACGAACATTTAGAGTTAGTAAGTTCAACAAAATTTTTGGGCATAACACTAGATTCAAAACTGCAATAAAACCCGCATATTTTTATATTAGCTGGTAAACTCAGCTCGGCTGCATATACCCTACGAAAAATAAGACAAATTACCGATATAGAAACTGCCCGGACAGTGTAGAAATTTTCACAGTATCATGTCCTATGGCATTATATTGTGGGGAACGGCAGCAGATATTTGTTTTACAAAAAAGAGCAATAAGAGCTATCTATCAGTTGGGCTCGCAAAAATCTCTTAGAGAGAATTTTAAAGAAATTGGTATATTGACAACTGTCAATATACCAATTTCTTTAAAATTCTCTCAATCATGGTCAATATACCAATTTCTTTAAAATTCATCTCAATTTATAATTAGTTGAATACTTTTTGTCCGGAACAATATTAATGTGTATACCATGCATAGTGATGTATATGTTACGCTCAAAGATCGAAAACGCTCAGTGAGCGGAAAAATAGCTCACAACGCGTTGTGGTCACAGTGAAACATCCACATGGCGAAATTCGTGTTATGGCTCTAATGAAAACGCGCACGACGCGTTTTGGCAATCACAGAAAGACCAAATAGCGAAATTCGTGTCGTGGCTCACATGCTATTCGATCTCAACGCGTTGTGGCAATGAAAAAAAGCCATGATGCGTTCTGAGCATTTATTGTAAGTAAGCAAGGGTTTATAATGTGCCACTGCAAAAGATACTGTATTGATAAAAAGTGCAAGTGTCGCTCCAAGAATATAAAATGCAACTCCAAATGCCACAGTAATAGTTCCTGTAAAAATTAATAGCAATCAAATACTTATTTTAAGTACATTATTGTTGTTTATTGGTGGACAATAAACATTTATGTTTGTGTTAAATATTTTTATTACTTGAAAGAATTTAAATTGTCATAAAAAAATTAAAATCCCTAATTATTTTAAGTGAATTGTAAGAAATTTACAAATGATTGACATTTCGTGTTCAGTAATTTATTACTTAATATTAATACGTTGATTTTTTTAAATATAAAGTAATCTCAATAAACAACAAATATCGTTTTATTTTAATTTATATAATATATTTCATAATAACAAACACGTTATGCAGTGATTTTATAAAATTAAAAATATTTCCTAAGGACATCTACCAAAACGTTTCCAGCCTAGGCCTAGTAGGATCCATATCGGAAAGTAGTGTGCGTCGTAATCAAATAATATTCCATACGCGTGATGGCTTTTCTTCATTGCCACAACGCGTTGAGATCGAATAGCATGTCAGCCACGACACGAATTTCGCTATTTGGTCTTTCTGTGATTGCCACAACGCGTCGTGCGCGTTTTCATTAGAGCCATAACGCGAATTTCGCCATGTGGATGTTTTACTGTGACCACAACGCGTTGTGAGCTATTTTTCCGCTCACTGAGCGTTTTCGATCTTTGAGCGTAACATATACACAAACTTAACACTAGAAGTATAAACAAGCTTCTTACAGGTTACAAAAGGTATTAGGTTCTTTTATGGGTCAAGGTATACAGTACTTTAACAAGATCCCCAGTGATGTGTTAGATTTGCCAATAAATTATTTTAAAAGTCTTATTAAAAATTGTCTGCAAAGTAAAGGATATTATACCGTTAAAGACTATCTAATTTAATGAGTATATATGAATCGGCAATCGGCATATTAATAACTTATCGAAAATATCTCTCTTATTTCTATATTGTAATGGAATGTGACTTCATATTCTAATGCAGCCCTTGCTGAGTTTCTTGCCAGTTCTTCTCAGTGCAAGGTCTCCCGCCGTAGTTTTGCTAACTGATGGCATAGTTTTGCTCATGACATTTTCTTAGGCGCTGACAACGCGCGTTTTGATGAGCGCGTCCTCTGCGCGTTATAAAGCGCTTTTTAACAATTTGTACGCAAATGTAAGTCAAACGCGCGTCAAAAAGTGAAGTCGCAGAGAAAGGGGCGCGGGGGAGGAGTACACGGCAGCCATCGTAATATTGTGCTTACAATTGAAAAAAAAGCATCTGCGCATTAGTGTCGCGACAAACATGCATAAACAGCGCGTATCTATTGTGTTGCATGCGCGTTTGTAGAGTGCGAGCATCGTGTGCAATTGTTACAATGCGTTTCACATTTGCACACGAGGCTCCACGTTTTCTTGGTGTCTTAATTGCGTTCCACTTTACATATACGTCGTGTGCAAAGGCCCTAAGACTTGATGCTATTCGACTACATCAATCTCACTCCGTGGAAACCTTTTCGTATTTATATACGACTAAGCGCTGATCGTGAGCGTCATGCGTCGTCTCGCGGTTCTGGCACATACACGCAAATTGAATCACGTCTTCGTTCTCAGCGGATTTATATCTAGGTCTCTAGAGATCACAGAGCATGTGATGCGAATCGAAAACGTTCACGGATAGATAATCTCGCTTGAGTTCTGAACATATTCTCAGTATAGAAAACCAGTGAAGCATGTGAAGTGCGACAGACCACTGATCAATAATTGCTGATCACGCTGTCATACATGTCCCGAACGTGCACACAACAAAATCCTAAGTGAGAAAGTTACAGAATTTCTGAATTACGGCATGGACCGACCGAAGTACTTACAGTTGGAAGACTTCTTAGATTACAAATATGGCACAGAACAGTCAACCAATTTTTTTGTTTTTTTTTTTTGCAATTTGTTTGCAATGAAAACTTTGTTTAGCATACAATTCGTTTCTGTTATTTTTAGTTCGATTTTGGCAATCGTGTTTTTTTTTATTTTATGTCCTTGTAAAATATCAGATTATACAAATCTGTCAAAGTCCTACACTTGATTTTAAACCTTAATGTTTTGAGTATATACTTCTAAATCGTCTGGAGAAACATATTGTGGTAACCGAGTGTAATAAGGTTAAAATCAGTGATTGCTTAATTAATAAACTTTTTAAATGCAAAGAGGAAGATATCAATTTAAACAGTCGTAGGTGGATATAAAACAATTCTATTCTACAATAAAATAAGCTTGAACGCAACGTCGAGCTCAACGCTATCACAAGATAGAGATTCGATGAAGTAAAATCTTTATTAGCTTTGAAGAAGATTTATTTCACTAAATTTCTATGTTGTATACTGCTGGGTACACACCAATCAACAAAAGAAAATCAATATTAGTTCCATTTGCAGAATTATTTACTCAATAAAAGGTTGAAAAGTTGTGTAATTCTAATGACGAGCATCCTTCGGTTCACGGTTAAAATAAGTTAAGCAGTTTGATAAAATAAAATTCATTTGTTCACCAATTACAATCCTTTTAATACTAATCACAACCATGTGTTCATAAGCCATCGTAATCAAGCTTTTACGGTTCTCAATTCCGCCTCGTACTTGGTCACGTATTTCCTGTCGGGGTCGTATTTGTTCACCAGTTTCTCCCAGTACTCATTCTCATTGTTGATCAGGTGCCCAATCACTTTTCGGGTGCCATTCTTCTGTACGTCAGTACACTTCGCACAATAGTTCTCAAGGGCATCCTTTATGTGAGCTGTAGACAATAATAGCATTTAATTAACTTTGATATTTCATGGAAATTATAAAGGTAAAAATTCATCTCCAAACGTTACCATACAATACGGTTACCAACCAGATTAGTACGACAGAAGTCCGTGTAATAAAAAATGTATAATTAAAAAAAGACAACTAACAAAATATCGGCGCAGCATTCGCTTTTTTGTTTTCAATGACGTCAACATCAAATGTTTGACAGCCTTATTTGTTTGACAATGCGCCATTCTTTTTGACTAGGAACAGTATAATAATAGTGTTTCTTTTTATTACTTTCCTTTTATTTTCTTAGTTTATTTTTCTATAAAAGTCTGTCTGGAACTTCAAAGGATATTGACAAAAATCATTAGCCGATTCTCAGTTAATATCTATTGCAGTTTTGCTCTTAGCAACAGACTTAGAGTTTCGTATATAATACTGATTCATTTATTGCTCAAGTTGCAAATTAAGTTACAGCACTTGAGTCAAGCGAAAACAAGGAAGGTTACGCAATACTCAGACCTGCAATAACATAAAGACAATTTCGGTTTCTAGTACATGACCGAGAATGGAACCCGGGACCTCAGAGATAGCACCACCTAGAAATTGAAGTGCTAACCTCTTCTTCTTGGAGATCGTCTAATACCCATAATTTTTTTCAAGAGAATAATAATAATTAAAATTTATTAATCAACCAAATAAATAATTCTCCCATAGTATCTTAGTTAAATGACATAATATTTTGTGACATACTTAATACGTAGGTACTATAGTCTAAAAGGAACACGCCCTCTTCATATTTGAATTGCGTTTGATTATGATTTTAATCGGAAATATTCTGACATTGGTAGCAATTCTGTTGTATAAACAATTAAACTTAGTTTGAATATTAAAAAATTGCCGTTTTGATTCTATTTACAATTAAGATAACAAAAGTAAACTTATATATATATAAATATATATTATACACGAGCATAATTCATGATATTACTCAATTAAATATGACTACGAAATAAAGTTAAAACAAGTCCATATTAATATAAATCATATAGTTTGGTTTAGATAGTAACACTTTAGAATTCGTGCTATTAGATTATAACATTTAGTAATGCATACTTACACTTTAGTTCCTTTCCGTCGGGTGAGCATTTGCCAGTCTCTAAGATACAGTTCACGTATGGAATCAACAGTCTTCTGTTACTGAGAATCTCGTCTAAGTCAACGCTATCATATTTATCCGTATAATGTTCTGGGCGAGCGAAAGCCACCGCCACGAAACCCAGCAGACACAGAACTGATAAAGATTTCATGCTAAAAAAAATGTTAACAATTAATATTTATGTAATTTGCAATTATAAAAACAATAGATATAAAAAATTCTAATTAGGCCTCTTAAAAGCCTATAGTTTGAAAGCCCGTGCACCGAAAAGCAACTGGAATATGTTTCAAGTGTGACGCATTTTACCGAACAGTAAGAAAAGGTCAGTAATTCAAATGGTTTACAGGCTTCCCCTTGAGCTTTCAGACTATATAGAGCCTTCTGAGAGGGCACTAGCATACCTTTAAACAAATACTCTGCTAGATTATTTGTTTAAAAGTACTGTTCAGAAGAGACCACCGCTTCACCGCTAATTTGCACGGATTTTCAAGTCCATTGCTGCAATTTTTGTATATATTTGTAACACTATTCCTTAGCAACCAGTAATGTATAAGGAAATATGTTTTATTCACGCGTTGTTCTTTCAAGGATCTTATAAACTATGAATATTTACTCATTCCGAAACAAATTGGACTCTTTACTATTGAATCCAAAAACAGTCATTAGCAAGATAAATCCGAACCTGCCTCTAATTGAACCTGCATATAATTACATTACATATTATAGCAAAGTCACTGAAAATCGTAACATGTGAAATCCATTATCAGAAATATTTTGAATTAGATTACCCTGGGGAAAATTCACTGAAAAGATTTTATAGAAAGAACAAGCATATTTTGTATAATGTTCATTAGGAAACCTACTATGATAACTGAATCAAAATAATGAAACATTTTTATATAAGTGCTTAAAATGGAAGCTTATAAATCTACAAAACACTGTGCCTACTATAGAGACTACAAATTGAATAAAACTCATAATATTACACGTATTGAATATCACGATAAATACGTTTTGAAATCACTTACTTTAAGTACACAGTCTTCGCGTCCAGTAAAGAATGACCATGATCAAGAGTAAATCGCTATTATATAGCAACAGGACATTGGCTTAAACCTAATAAAAACATCATGAACTGGTTTCGATGACCAAGAAACATGCATAAAGCACTTGTTCTGGTGACTTTGCGTCACAACTACAAACAGCAGTGCATCATGACGGCAAGTTTTATTATAATATGATACTATAAATAAAACAAGTATGACAACTATATTTTTATTAACATTCAATATTATGGATGAACTGACAGTATTTCTTAAGTGAACCATACATGAAATAAGAAAAAGCTTGCATGTATAGAATCGATTAACTGACCACACATACAAAAGCGTTTTTGAAGAGTTTAAGATAATAATTTTTAGTATATTTTCATTTACGAGTATTTCTGTTGCAGCTGCGTTATGAGATAATTCTTTGAACAATTCTCTGGTATGTGGAAAACGACAAAAAAAACATAATTGAGTCGCATTGGTATATTGTTACAGACGCTAATGAGTCGCGCCCTGAATCCGAAGATGCATTGATAGCTAAGGTAAATGGTCCATGCTTTGGATTACTTATGAAATAACTAGTTATCTACACACAACCACTGTATACACTTTACCTATTACTCTAAGCAATAAAGAGTGACCTAATTTATCAAAGTTATTATGGGAAAATCCAACAAAGATTATTAATCGTGGTCACTGCAATCTTAATACCTGTGGTATAATATTATTCATGCACTATTAATCAATAATAATAACACATAAACATACATACATTTTGTCGACCTCTGTAGCCAAATAGTTCACACGCTGGTTTCAAACTGTCCCCATGTCTGAGGACCCGGGCTTGATTGCCAACGTTGTGGTACCTTCGTTATCTAAGCTACTCCATAATGTAAGTACTTTAGCTACTCATCTTGTATGTGATGTTGACTAATATTTATTTACCAATGAAGATATTCTTCATTTGAATTATATAACTCTACCATGAAGATTTCATAACATTGCATTTACAGGTAGTTATTCAAAACTGGAATCAGTAATTTTCACATTGATAGTTTCCGTTATTGTCAAACTAAAGTGTAAATTGGTAGGACATATAGCACGGATGGTAAATTTTAACTCAAAATACTTATGTCAACAACAACTAGAATAAACAACAACAACAAAATTACATAGAATTACTATGTACTAAAATCAAGTGGGGAAATTTGACAGATTTGAATAGTCTCACGCTCAGTTGACGAAGAAATATGCATAAAGCACTTGTATTTCATATACGAGTGTTTCAATTTCATTTTGGATTAGAATACTTTACATGTTCCCAGATTTTAACGTTATATTAAGAATCCCTAAAGTTAAGTAGCAATTCGATCGATTCGATCTCTAAGCACTAGTCCAATTTTTCCATTAGTGTATTTTTAAAGTCTTAATCAGTATAAATAACCAACAAAAAATCTAACATAACTAAATGAACGAGGGGACATTGATTGATTGATGGTTCGATAAAAAAATATTTGCGTTTATTCTTGTAAAAAAACTCTACTGTAGGTATTGACAGCGAAGGAAGTGTTCAGTTTTCTCGTACCTAGCACAAATTCATTTATCAAATGCGAATCGACTTTGATTTGAGATCAATAAGTAAATTTTTTGATCATTTTCGTGACCATCTGTCTCGGTCGATTATAAACTATCGTAAGCTTAAATTAGTTACTCAACAAACAAAGAATTACAAACAGAATATGTCACTGTAAAAAAAAACGTACAAGTCGATTTATAACACTCTACTACTCTGAAAAAAACTGCTGAAGTTGCATTCTGAAAATCTCGTGTCACGTGGCACGATAAGGTAACTAATATACAGTTGTGTCAATTCAATAATATGTATCTTAACGTGGACAAGTGTTGTGTCATTTTATTTACTCGGAGGAAGAATAGGGTAGACCATTCGTATCACTTAAATAATATCATCTTATCAAGAAACACAAGTGTCAAGGATCTGGGTGTTGTTTTTGATGAGCAGTTGTCTTTTCGTCCACATTAAGGAAGGATAAAGGAAAAGGATAAAGGAAGCTATCAACTGATAAGCTTTATAATAAGGTCTACAAAATAAGCATAACCTGGGTCGAAGTGTGGTTAGTTACTCTCAAAGGTTATCCAAGTTCGATGTTATGTCCTTGGAGACCCGGCGTAGAAGATACAACCTACTCTACCTTCATAAGTTGTTGCATGCTTCCATTGATGCACCGGATCTCCTCGCATCAATAAGTATTAATACGAGACACAAATCGCGCCATCCGAATATATTTGCAATGTAGGTATACAAAAATAATACATCCTTTTACAGCCCTCTAGTTAGAATGTGTCGCACATTTAATGAGATTTCCCGTAGCAAGCAGCAGACTCTGCAATCGACATTTTTGACCATAAATTTTCCAGATATAAAAAGAACGAAATAATCCCTTTTAATAGGTTATTGGATAGACTAAGTTAGTTTTTATTGCTAGGACTGTATAGACTGTTCTGTCGATCATGCTGTGTACACAAATTTTGGATTATTATCTAGACTAAGTTATCTAATATATTTGTCGAAGTCATATGTTGTACTGTAATCTGTAAGTGTACCTAATTTAAATAATATATTACAATAAAGATCCACGCAGTGTTGTAAGTACTCTGACTCAAGAACCTAATGGATTGGTGTGTACGCAGTACTAAATCGCTGTTCCAAGCAGCAGCCTTAGATGCCAGGATACTTTCCAACCTCCGATTGTAAGAGTCAAGATCAAGAAGACACAAATATTATATAACATGCAGCCGGAAGATTGCACAAAGAGAAAATGATTTGACTTATCTTCCCTATGGATGACAATGAATTGAATAAGGAAGGTGAAAGATATTTTTTATTTTTGTTCAACAAATATCATAATAATAATAAAAAAATGGGTTTAAGTATACTAATGTATTATTTATTTAAGGATTACAACTAGATGTTTACAGTTCATCATATATTTTCATAATAAATATGTATTAAATATTCCCATTTTATTCGTTCATTTGTTATCTAAAAGATAGAACTTCATCGTTGATCTCTAACTAAGCGAGTCCACTTACGGATATTACTAAATAATAGTCATTCAAAATTAATTTTCTTTGTACGACATTTACATCTTTTCGAAATTATAAGCCGTAGCTACTCTCAGGTCTTTATTTTATCGTATCTGTGTATTTCTATCGCGGCGATAGATTACAATCCAGACTTCCTTCTCGGCCTGACATTATTTCGATGCCTGAAACTACTGCATTAACTTCAGATGTAGTCGGTAATACTTTGGACAGTAACACTCCTCTTCCACCAGAAGAACAATTTATGCCCATCACATAATCATCATTGATTCTTCTAAAAATATACTTCCATATCCGCCCACAATTACGATACAAATTCTTCACTGCTCCCGTTCCGTAGAAAAGTAACTTCACAGATTTATTAGCACTATTTACGTACGATGATTGTAAAACAGTCTCGTTGCCTAAATTTAATTCACTACATTCATTGTTAGCACTATTTGTCTCCTCATCAGATAATATTTTGAAATTCGTCACCTCACATCTATCCCTCTGTCTTTGATTTGGAGGCCAGAAATATACTGTGTACCGAACGCCTTGTAGTGTTGTTATATCAAAATCTTCATCACTCTTATAATAATCTATACATTTATCAACATTACTAGAACTTAGTACACTATTTATAAGTAAAAAGAGCAAAATAAACCCGACTTCTTGATTCTTCTTATGCATTTTGCGAAATGCTTTTATGTTGTAAGATAAAATGTACTAAGTCCAAATATAACTCCGGATATGTAAACAACGCGATAGCTGTGTTGTCTGTTCGAGATCATGTCGTAACCAATTCCATTACGATATATACTTTAATCAATAAGCTGTCAAGCAATTTAGGGATTTTGGTCTCTACCTCGTTTGGAATAAGATCGCTCTAAATTAATCAATCTCTTGACTAGTTACCTACCGAAAGTCATGACTTGAGATAACTTCGAAAACCTGGTCACCATTTTAATGGTATTATGAAGATATTGTTGAAAGCATTACATTTTAAGCATTTAAATCTGCCAAGTTAGTAAATAAAAGTTAAATATTTTAATATTCTGAAGTTGATAATTAAAATCAACTAGTAGTAGTTGAAATACTATGATTGTGATATTTTTCTATGAACGAGTTTGTGATATTGCGACTATGTGCAGTGCTTTCTCAAATTTTCAAATCTATTTTATTTAGAGTCATAAAACTGTCTGCACCGTTCTATACTTATTAACCATGAAGGTATAAAAGAAATTATTAAAAATACTTATTTCGTAACTTACGCACATACCTAATGGCGTTTTTATTTTCACATAAATCACAGTATACTACTAACAGCATATCTTTATTATTACATTAACCATCATATACATATTAAAAAATAGGAGTAAATTAACTATCATATAATATAACTAACATATTGTCTAACAGTCACTCTATATATTAATTTAATTATTTCAGTTTATTTTTAAGAGCAACTTGTGATAAATTTGCTTGTTTAACTATAAAGGTTTCAATATCATCTATGATTGAGTTAAAAGCATTAAAGACCTCTTCCATCACCTTCAAGTAAAATTATTCGTAAGAGAGTGGCTAATTCATATGATTTAAAATTAACATGTAAGAACTCATTCAGTTTAAAAATGAGTACTGCAAGGTTATGAATTAGGCCCTTAATTGCTAAGACAGTTTGATTCTAAATCTTTAGGTTATGTAGTTATTCCTTGAATTCTTTCTCAAAGTCGTCGGATACTTTCCTTTCTGGATCATACTTGGCCACTATCTGCTGCCAATAATCGTTTTCTTTGTTTATCAAATGTTTTATGACTTTTCGGCTGTCTCTTCTTTCTTTTTCTGTACATTCCACACATTTATAAGTCAATGATTTCCGTATATCCTCTGTGAAAAAAGAAAAGTTTCAAATTTTATTATTCACTAACAGTTTTTGCGCAATTTTTCCGGCGTAAATCATAGCTGTAACCAGTTACGAGGATTGCTTCACACAAGTGATCGGGTCAGTATTTCCGAAGATTAATTACCCTTACAATAAAACAAAGTAAGAAACTTTGCCTCTTATGTATCACAAAATGAGGCAGAAGAAAAAAAATGCTCTTTAGATACGATGTGTCATACATTCAAAACTAACTAAAATGAATGACAAAATTTACATAGCCATGATGAAAACTAGTTGTCTGCCGGTGGTATGGAAACACGTTTTAGCACTTAAAACAACTGTGGTTCAAGGTACAAATGTCAGATTTACTGTCTTTCCGTTATTATGAACAAGATGGAATTATTATTTTTACCTAATTTATTAGTATTTAAATTTGAGTCTGTATATTTATTTGATTTTAATAGTCAAATTTATATTATTATTAAAATATTTAGGTGTTGTGTAACCTTCATTATTTCACATTTTTATAGCAAGATATTAGCTACTTGAAATCCGCCTGAGAAACGTACCAATGTGGTTTTGTCTTATATTAATTGTTACTCATCTTGTCATATTTCTTGAAATTAGGAAAAAAATATTTACCAAATATTTGTTCTTAATTATAAACTTCAATATCTATTGAAAAAAATATAATAAATATAAAACTCAATGGTTCACTATATATTATTTTTCTATTCTTTGATCTATTAAATAGGGACCTAATATTATTTTCTATTTCATGCGCAACATGGTGACCTCGATGTATAACAATTTAGAATTTTATTTTCATTTTATGAATCGTGTTGCTAAGCGCAAAACTCGATGACGGCTGGACCATTTAGGTAATTTAAGTTCACAGTAGAAGAAAAATTCTTAGGCAAAAATTATTAATTGATAAAATTTAAAATAATAAAACCACTTTCTTTTCTTATATAAACTGGGCTATATGGAATTCACATAGCTTAATAGCAGACAGTAGACATTTATTAAACATTGGGTAATATTAAACTAACACTATAGAAAAATTTGCTTAACGGATTCTAAAAGAAACAATGCACCTCTTTGCACCATCTGGCCACGTGAAATAACTAGACGACTAATGCGTAAAGTTTTAAAATAAACATAGCTACCTTAGCTACCTAGTTCTAGAGACTGGTAGTCTATCCAGTTTCAAGGTATTAAGTTATCAGGTCCTATAGACTAATGGCCGTATGCCTAACTGCTTCAAAGTATCCGGTACCAGAGACTAATATAACATACCTGGTATAGGGTAAAGAGTTTTCTCATAGTCCTAGTAGCCTACCCGTATTAAGGTATAAGTGAAGTATCAGATCCTAAAGACTAGTGTGCAAATATTTATCTATATTCAGATATAAACAAAATCTATAGTCAAACTTACTCTTCATGTCTTTCATATTAGCAGTGCATTTTCCTTGATCAAGAGCACACTTCAAGTATGGCAGCAAAACTCGTCGGTTTTCGAGAGTTTCATCGACATTGTAGCTGTCTTCCTTCTCGTATGGTAAAGCGCATGTTACCGTGACCACAGCCAAAAAACATAGTGTAATGAATTTCATTTTGCAGACCTTTAAATAAACCAAACACTTAAAAATAAACGTCGTTTTACTTCAAAAGGAAAGACAAAATGTTGTTTGTTTATTGAATGAGGCATCATTAGATTTGGATTGAAATGATAAAATGAATCAGTATTAAAAATTTCGGTATAAGCTTACACTTTTTGAAATTGAAATAGCGTCAACACAAACGTAATAAATAAAATCACACGGTTAATTCTAAATAGTAATTGGTAAATACACCTCTGTTACATAATTTCGAATGCTTTTTTCTATTATTTTATAAAATTTGAGATATAAAAACTCTTCTAAATAACGATCAAAAGTTTTATGTTAAGCACGATGATATTTTTGATTTAATTATTTTCCAGAATTCATTTTAAAAAGGCAAAATCAATAGTTGAACTTTCCCAAAAGCTAACTTATTAACTCGACAGCAAAATATAATTCTAACCACGAAAAGTTCTTTGGAAAGTGCATTGCTTGAAACTTTATAAACCTATTTTTTTTTGTTAGTGATAATTTAGAAAATTCTAGAAAAGAACGCACCTGCTTACACGTAGTTAGCTACTGAAGTGAAAAATCAATCTGTCAGTCTTCATATAAATATTTTTCACTATACTGTCATTGAGGCTTACATTGCATAAATTATACTTCAAGACCTCAGCTATTGTTATTATACAAAAGATCAAGGTTTGCCATAAAATAAATAAGCATTAAAAATTGTCGTCACTTAAAAAATATTTACTGTTTAGACTAGTATAACAGCCAAGAAGGATTGAACAAAATATATACTCTTAACCATCAATAAGGAAGGCCTGAGTCCCGGCAGTGGAGACGTAAAAGGGCTGATGATGATGATACTCTTTAGACTAGTATAACAGCCACGAAGGATTTAACAAAATATTTATTCTTCAGACTAGTATAACAGCCAAGAAGGATTTTTGTGGTGATATGTCGAATTGAGGATTAATTTCACTTCATTTTCTTCAAGTGTGTGTTTGTCAGCAAACTTGATCAATTCATAACTTCATGATGCGTAGTTTGGTTTTCATTAAGAACCAAACTTAAGTAACAAGACGTTAATAGATTGGAATTAGAATGTGTCAACATTTCATTGTATTTATTTAGTTTTGGTCTAAGAATGACTTATTTAGAGACAATCGCTTTAAATTGACAGCAAATTGTTAAAACTTTAGTTATAAAATTACATTACTATTGTATAATATTACGTTGATTTTGACATGAACAAAGAATTATTATTATTTATAACATGCTGCATAACAGCACCCCAGGCATGCACGTTTCTTTTTTTTTATTTCAAAGAAAACAACATCCTAACTGGTAAACCTGTGGACCAACGGGACAACTTCATCTACATTCAGAAGAAAGTGTGTTTTATTTATTTTGCCAGGATTCGGTCTTATCAATACTAATACGGTCTTATATTGATAAGACCGAATACTCGATAAATAAATAATTAATACCTATTAATAAATATAATAATGAAATTATTAATGCTGTACCAACTAATATAGCTTTTGACTGGACTACTCTCAACTCCTCAATATTGTCCCACACCTGTGAGTTGTGGTTCCTTCATTTTGTCAGATTTCCTTATTACTAGTGCTAAAAACTACTTAATATGCGACTTGAGTAATGTATGTGATTCTGTATAATAATATGTTATAACATATTTAAAAGCAAAATATGATTTTTATAAATCAAGCATCAATAAAAGTGCAAAAATGTGATTTTCGTACTAACAACACTGAACTATACATATATGGATTGAATTATAACTGTATTTTTTTTATAATTATGTACACAGGATTGAAATATTTGTTTGATAAAACGAGTCCAGGAATATTTTTCTTTAAACATAACATAATAATAATAATTCCTTTATTTTTTGTACAAACACCAGTTACATAAATATTTGAGGCCCTGACTTCTAAGCTAGTTTTACCTGTATTATAGAAGCCAGTGTCTCCCCAATGACATTTCAATAATTAGATAGGTACTAGGTACAAACAAGTTGGAATATCATAAGGAATGTAAAGGAATGTGTGTGTGTGTGTGTGTGAGAGAGAGAGAGAGAGAGATAAATAGTTAACGTACTGGTTTTAAATATGTTTCAACTTCTTCACTACTTACCGATAACAGATAATCAAAAATTTTTTTTTTCAATTGATACTTATTACATTTACTTATTATTAGTTTTGGTTCAATTATGTTATAGAATCTTGGCGCAAGAAAATTATAAAATCGCTGTGCATATGTACTTCTTGTAACAACTTGGGGGCAACGAAATCTTCTTCTGTGGGCTAATGACAATTTAGGTATTGATATTCGATGGTACCTCCGTATACATCTATCAACAAAAATCTTGCGAACCGTTAGCACCTGAGCCAAGTCATAGACCAAAGTGGTAGGATGCAATATCTTGGGAGGAATAAAATTATTTTAAGAACGGCTCTTTGGGCTCTTTCAAGCTGCAATAAAATAGTGGAGGCTGCACCACCCCACGCACATATACAATATGAGAGAAGACATTCACCCAAGGCCTTATAGGTCTGTATAAGCAATGATTGATCAGCTATAGTCCTCAAATTCTTGAAAGCGAAGAATAACTTTCTCAATCTCGAAGTCACCAACGCGATATGCGAATCCCACCTAAGTTTATCGTCTATCATAACGCCGAGATACATTATCTGATTTTCTCTACTTAAGGTAGTGCAACTGCATCCAACAATATTATTGGTGTGGGAACGGTTGCATGGAAAAGTGTGGATGACAATCTTAAAAGTTTCCTTCGGGCAACAGGTTTTATTCATACTAAAACAAAGATATTTAGTCTTATTAGTGTTGAGAGACAGAAGATTATCCTCTAGCCAGGAAGAGACACCACACATGCCCATCTCAGCAATGTGCTGCACAGCAATCCATGTGGGTGCATGAAATATAATTGCAGTATCATCTGCGAACATTAACAACTCTGCGCCAGTGAGCTTCAAATTACACAATTCATTAATATAAATTAAGAAAAGTGTTGGGCCAAGAGTACTCCCCTGAGGAACACCGTAGCTACAGCTCAAACTCTGGCTTAAGGTGTGATCAACACATACCCTTTGAGTTCTGTTGGTCAGGTAGCTACAGAACCAGTCGTGAACATTTCCTCTAATACCCAGTCTGTTGAGGCGAACCAGCAAGATAGGAATAGACACGGTATCGAATGCCTTTTGCAGATCGAGAAAAACACCAATACAATGTTCACCAGCATCCAAAAAGCCAGATATCATTGAGGTAAGTGTTAAGACAGCATCCTCAGTACATCTATCAGATCTGAAACCGTATTGGTTATCAGCTAGTAGGTTCTTGGTTGTTAAATAGGATATCAATCGCTTATTAACAATTTTTTCTATTATCTTTGATAATGTGGGTAATAGAGATATGGGTCGATAATTCGATGGTTGATTTCTATTGCCCGACTTATAGATTGGGGTCACTATAGCATTTTTAAAGCAATTTGGGAATACACCCTGTTCAAAACTTAAATTACATAAGTGGCTAATGGGTGTTATTAAAATTTCTTTTAAATTTTTAAGCAGATTTGTGGATATATTATCATGCCCCGAAGCACATCCTGGTCTAAGACCGGTGATGACACCCGCCACCTCTGCAGGCGTTGTGAGATACAATGACATCGAGTGTACCTGAGAATTGACGGCTGTAATTTTCTCTGCTAACTCACTGTCAGTGGATTTTAGTTTAGATAATGTGACGTCAGCCAGATCCGCCCCAACCTCCGTAAAATATTTATTTACTTTATCAAGAGAAATCTCTGGAGTTTTATCCATCATCAGAAGATCACGACAAGGTGTTCTATTAGGCTTTATATTACAGATATCCTTGATAACCCTCCAGGTTCCCCTAATATTTCTATAGTTCTTCTGCAGGAGTGATTTATAATATTCCCTTTTTAAATGTTTAACAATCTTATTGCACCAATTCCTGTATGTTACGTAAAATTTAGTGGCCACTACTGAATTCGCAAATTTTGCTTTTTTATGTAATTTGTCTCTTTTATGTAATGATCTCACTATACCCGGTGTGATCCACGGCTTAAGTGGTCTTGTACGTCGCGAATAAGTTTTAGTCACAGTAAAATTGGTAATACAGTATTGTAGATGATATACTAAGAAATCAGCAGCCCATTCCACGTCCGTCTTGTTAAAATATTCATTCCAGTTAATATGATATAAATAATTTTTCATTGCTTCATAATTATAATTATCAATAAAACAAAATAATAAGGTAACAATAATTTAATAAACAAATCACAAGCCTTTGGTCGTTTAAAATGTTTTTTCCAGGCCTCAGCTTTGTTGCTTAGTACTTATTTATAAAACATGTGCTGACAGTTTTGTGTTCAGATAAATATCACAGATGATTTGACACAATTCTGTAAAAAATATTTTATTTATATAATTCATGTCACAAAAACTAAAATCAAAATAATTTGTTCAAACAATCTAACACAACTAAAATTATATAACTGATTAAATTATTTTCTTTACAGGTACAAACGAGTAACAATTAAAAACGCCAACAATTCTATGTTTGACTAAAACTGACAGAATTTTGATTTCTATATCTGTAATCTGTCGCACAATGGTAAATGCAACAGTTCTTATGAGCAAATATATTCTATAGATGATCAGTAACTACAAATCATTAACATCCTACTTACTGACTATGGCAATAATAAATTTTATAACATCATTGACACTGTATCGCACATGATTGGCTATAAAAGCGCGGCGAAAAATAAGTCTCCGAGTGATATATAAAAGAATCCAAACATTGTACTGCATCAGCACGCGGTAGTTAACAAATCAATGAATTAATCATCCGATTATAGGATCTTATATGGCTGCCGCGTTACATAATTGAATTCTGAACAATGTACGGATCATTATTCACATTTAACGGGCAGTCTTCAGTTCTTGCTCATAACGTTTGGTGTATTGGCCGGCGGGATCATATTTGGCCGTGAGTTGATGCCAGAATTCCTGTTCATGGTTGATGAGATGACCTATGACGAGGCGGGTCCCACGCACTTGAGCTTCGGTACACTTAGCGCAACGGGTCTCCAACGCTTCTTTTATGTGAGCTGCAACAAGAAATTAGAATAAAATTAATACTCATAGAATATGGTAGAGAAAGAATAATATCTATGTATACGTCTCTGCGTATCTATACGAATACTACAAAGAGAAAAGATTTTATTGTTTTTTTTACATTGAACAAGCACCGAAGCTACTGGACCGATTTAAAAAATCTTTCACTTACTGGAAGCTATATCATACATGAGTGAAATAGGCTATAATTTAAATGGGTGAAATGGATCACAGCTAGTACTATGTATATTTACGCCAAATCCTTTGCGAAGTAAATAGAGGTATCAAATTATTAAAAGAAAAAACTGGTGCCTTTAAGTCTAAGTTAAAATCACGTGTTTAGGTAAACGTGGAACACCTAGGCGAACCACTTTCAAATCAAATCGAAATTGTTTATTCAGTTTAGACTTTTACAGAGCACTTCTGAAAGTCGAAAACTACGCCATCGGTTCGCAAAACTACGGCGGGAGACCTTGTACTGAGAAGAACCGGCAAGAAACTCAACAAGGTTTGTTTTTTCTCTCTGTTTCATTTCCCACAGAGAAGTCTTATTGAAAAGTGACTTCATTAGAATATGAAGTCACTTTGCATTACAATATTAGAAAGTTAAATACAATAAAGTTAAAATATCTAACACCATGCCTTTTTGTCATTTAGACATTTCTTAACAGTATAACATCCTTTACTTTGTAGACAAATTTTAATAAGACTTTTAAAATGATTTATTGGCAGAACTAATACACTGGATCTTGATAAAGTACTATATACCTTGACCCATGAAAGAACCTAATACTTTCTGTAACCTGTAAGAAGGCATTGCTAGCTTGTTTTTATGTGTAGTGTTAAGTTTGTATACTTTACCTACTATGCTTGGTATACACATTAATATTGTACCGGACAAAAAGTATACAACTATATATAAATTGTGATGCCACCGTCTATATTCCAATTTCTTTAAATTTCTCTTTTAGAGATTTTCGCGAGCCCAACTGATAGATAGGTCTTATTCCCCTTTTTGGTAAAGCAAATATAAATTGAATATCGGCTGCCGTTCCCCACAATAAAATGCCATAGGACATGATACTGTGAAAATAACTAAACTAAAATACAGTCCGGGCAGTTTCTATATCGGTAATTTGTCTTATTTTTCGTATGGTACTTTGGTGTTCGACGGGTCAGAAATCAAAAGTATTGTGACTATAGTAATTCACAGTACAGTTAAAAATCTAAAGAAAAGGCAATACAAATTAGAATTATTTTTTAATCACTTTTATCATTTATTATTACCTGTTTGAATTTTATAGGTTTGTCAACATGTTCAGTATCATAATTTATTAATGATGTTATCCTTAGCATAAAGTTGTTTTTATGTTAAGAAAAACTAGTTTTAATTATTTCATTTTTATTAACTATCAAACTGCCTAATTTACAAGACTCAAGGTTATTTACCTAGTCAGTCGTCTAATTTATAAATATATTTGCTTAGTGGGCCCGGCGAACCTTGTTCCGCTCGAGAATGTAAAAATATATAACCTTCTTGGTTCCTCCTAACAGTCAATGAATGGGCAAATTAAATATTTAACGATAATTTAAAATAAACCATTGACATTGACAACATTACGTGAACAATCAGTTGCGTTTTATTATGACAAACCACTAGTATAATCACAAATTTTTTGAGTATTTTTTTAATTATTATTGTTGATAAAATAGAATATTTTAATAGTTATTTTCATATTTCCGACGAAGACAAATCAAATAACACAAATATCATAAAAAATGGTCCAGCTGTTCTCGAGGTATAAATGGTGTAACTGAAACGACTTTCTTTTATATATAAATATGAATAAGCGCCTGTATTATTGACATCTACTTGTTGGTTCTTAATAAAAATTTAATCAAATCAACGGGTTCCTAAACATGTTCCTGATCAAATAAAAAAAAATATTTTCAATAATAATGAGCTTTTATTTTAAACACTTGTTTTCCCGCGACTTTGCCCGCGTATATTATGCCTGTGTCACATCGCGTATGATGTAGCAAAAAAATTTTTTATTACTAGCAAAAAAAAAACAATCAGATCTATCCTCCTTGCTATATTATTAAAGTTCTAAGGTAATACAGAATTGCTTTAGCGTAAATAACATAATTTGGATTTATAAATCGAACAAATTTCGAATTGTTCATTTAATTTAATTAAAATCCTATCCATATATATTATTTGTGCCAGGACCAACCTCCGTTACATAATACATTTTAAAAAAATGCGTTGGTGTCGTATTGTATGTCGAAATAGATGAAATTTCGTTTTCGGAACAGTAGAATAGACCTTCATGTGTAATGCTAATTCATACGAGTATTGAAAATGATACTTACATTTTAACTCTTTACCCTCGGGCGTGCATTTCCCCTTGTCCAGGGCACAATGTACGTACGGCACCAAGAGCCGCCGGTTCTTCAATATCTCTTGGATGTTTATGCTGTCGAATCGATCGGTGTATTTGTCTTCAGGCCGCGCTAACGCTACTCCTGCCACCGCAATGACGCATAATAACACGAGGACTCTCATTCTGGAATAAAAAAAAATAAATTACAATCCTCTACGAAGTGAATTCATGCCAATAATGTCCAATTACTCGTGTGCCATTTTTTGTACAGATGAGACCAAAAACTAACGCCATTTTGATTAATAATTATATTACATGTACTTTTATGTATTTAAATTGAGGGCATTATTGGTGTAAAATGGTGGCAAAATAAGATCTGATTTCTTAAGTCTCCGGTAGGATTCTCATTTAAGTTAATGCATAAAACGAAATATCGGCATTTTCTTGGGTTTGAATATTTAAGGACTACGTCGTTACACATATTATTAACAAAAGGGCTTAGCTACTTATAACTTTGCATCGGTACGACGTATACTAAACAGCATATCAGGTTATGCAAAACTGTTTTCCATTTGATATTATACCTTAATGCATCGTGTGGGCTTAGAGTTCAAAATCAACTGTGGAAATTTTATATTTCATGGTAGAATAACGTGCAACATAAAATAGTTTATTCCTAATGAATGCATGAAAAAATTAAGGCATATTTCAAGAACCTAAACATAAACCCCATGAAGCTCATCTTCTAAATCAGCAAGTTTTAACCGCATAAATCGGCCTGCAATCGATTTTTACCCGACTGCGCGACGCAAAGGAGGGTAATGTGTTTGTCAGTCTATATATGTATATATGTTTGTTTCTATGGCGTTCTAGAGACCAAATGCGTAGGCCAATTTTGATTATTTTTATGTCAAACTTGCGTCTTAAAGACATGACAGTAATCAAAATTCACCACAGCGACAAGCAGACGCCATATTGTCAAAATGAAAAAACAAAAATCGATGAACTATGTCAAGTGGGGTGTCGTTATATAGGTATTTTAAAATCATCTTTAGGTTCCCTATATCATTTTTCATTTTAAATAATAGTTTAGGATATATAACGATTTAAAGATGTTTAACAAACTATATTAACTCCCTCAATGAAATGACTAGATTGCGAAATATACCATCTTATAACGAAGTCAACGAATCGTAACTACAAAGTATAAAATAAAAATAAATAATTTAAATAAAACAAAATACCCGACTGCGTAAAATCGAATTTAAAAAAAAGACATGAAAAATTTAGCTTAAATAAAAATTAAAAAGAAAGAAACAAGCCCAGTAAATCTAATATTAAAGTCGTTTGCAGAATTATGACTATTTCACCCGCGTATGACGTAGCTACGCGTATGTAAATGAAATTTTAAAATCGATCCAATAATTTCAGAGCCTATTCAATGCAAAAAAAGCAAACAAATCTGTCTTCCTTATAATACTAAGTAGATAGTATACTTTACACATATTAACACTTACGAGTACAAGCAAAATTCAAAATAAATTAACATTTACTTCAACAACGCTAATTATTAGACTAGTATTAAATTAGACTAGTAAAAGACCTACTTACCTATTTTTTTTATCGAAACTATACCACACTGTTCGACACTCAAATTAACACTGTGATTTAATGTCTACCTTTGATTGACTTTTATACTTAATATCCATTTGACCCAAAAACTAGTTCTGACCACCTATTTTGTTGACACGTTATGCAATTTCGTCATAACTCGTCAGCGCTGTCCATTTTGTTAAAATAATAGATTAGTCTTCGTTAGATACAAAAAGGTTTTATATCACTGCCTAACACCTCTTAAATCTTCAAAACAATAATTTATACAGTCTAAGCTATCACAAGCACTTTTAAATATTGGGACTCCATCGTTTTGCAAATCTACGATGAAAGATCTTGTATTGAGAAAAACCTCCAAGAAATGCTTTTTCTCCTTGTTTTATTTCAAAGATGTCAAATAAATTTTGCTTTTATGAATCGAGATAGTTAACACTAACTAAAAACGTACATAAACGAGTATTTTTCTTAGCATTGATGATATAATGATATAACCATTTGAATATATATGTATAATCAACAAAAACTATTGTAATCGTAGAAATTTGACAGAATCAATATCGATCAAAACAAAATTCTATACAGCCTGATAATCCTATTAGTATTATAAATGTGAAAGTTTCTTTGTTTGGATGTTTGTCCGCCAATCACGCCGAAATTACTGAACGGATTTTGATGAAATTTGTTATACAGATAGGATATTATCTGACTTAGATAATAGGGTACTTTTTATCCCACTAAACATTTCCCTAGAGTTCACGCGGGAGAAGCCGCTGGCGAAAGCTAGTTTATAACTAAATATGCTTTTCTTCGATCATTTTTAATATTCACTCTATCAAATAATACTTCCATTCAGTATTCTTATCTCGAAATCTATTCAATAATTTCGTGTTTATAAGAGCATCTATCATTATTTCATTAACTCTGTTTTACTGACTTTGCGAATTTATCCAGGTAAACTATAAACTATATCACACGCTTATGATGTAGATTTCCTAGCTGAAATAATTTTTAAAATAAGTCCAGCAGTTTCAGAGCCTTTTCGATGCAAACAAACAATCAACTCTTTCCTCTTTGTAATCCTAGGAAAATAAAAAAAAAAACAAGCGGGAAGTAAACATTCTAATGCAATAAATAGATATCATTGGATAATAATAACTGAGTACTATAATACCAATGTATTAGTAATCCTGAGTGACCCCGCAGTTGACATATAAACATATATTTATGTTAAATAAGAGGACGTGACCTCCCGTGTCGACGGTTTATAATAAAGAGATTTTAGAATTAATTTTATAGAAGTGGAATAGTCAGAATAGTATATTGTTATAGAAGGAGCTCATTGTATATGATGTAGAGCTCGGAAGAAAATAGAAAACAATAATATCCGGCCCAAAAGCTGACTAATAAAAAAGAATTATAAAATCGATCTACTCCGTAAAAAGTAATGCGTCTTACATAAAAAATAAACGGTTCTAATTTGGAACTTCATTCGTTTTGTCCCTCAGTAAAAAAAAAAGGGAGATGACCACTATTTTTATTGAAAAGGCCAAATACCTTCACTAAAACATTATCATACATATTTTATTATCATTACTATCGCCGTTAATGTGAATCATGTGGAATATTTTTTTGTAATTGACTTTACAATAACCTCTCGAAAATCCATTGTTACCGATTATTATAGAATTCGTTAAAGCTAAAAATTTCTTTTGAAATAAATCGCTTAATCACCCTAAAATATTTATCATATCACTATTAATAGGAGTCGCAAACCTGGATCCCGAATACCGAGAATGAACGAGAAGGGAAAAAAAAGATACCTTTACAAATACACGAATGATCTCTATTATCGGTATTAAAGTAGGCTTGTTAGTAGCACTGTTGAACAAAGTGAGTATTTTTCTCGTACTTGAAAGCCGTAATTGAAGGCAACAACAACATCCCATTGGACCGGTTTCACAGTTTTACGTCAGATCTAAAACCAGGCTTACAATAAAATTGTTTCTCATAATTTCTGAGAGTAGCTTTAAGATTAAAAAATATGTTAAGGAAGGACGAATTCTTTCTAGATAGATAGACCATTACTGTTTTTGTTATATCATAAAATCTATCTTCTTCAATTTCTAGATAAATTCTTAATGACGTTAATATTATTTGTTCTGTTAAATCCCATTAAAAAGCTTAAATAGTTTATCCCATACATTTTAACTACCATGGATTATTACAAAAATAAATCGTGTTAAAAAGGGCAACGAACTTGAAAACCACGTCAGTTTTGAGTTCAAAACACAGATATGTTGCTGCAGCAACATCGTCATTGTACACCGTATGGCACATAGACTTTTTATGACAAATAAGTGATGACAAAGCCTGAAAATGTTATCCCGAACACTCGGACAGTATACACAACCCCACTCGGATACATCAGAGACAAATCTACACGAGATACACTCAATATGCGAATTTTTTAAATTACGTTAAATTATATGTTCTCGGCTACTATGGTATTGACAGACTGTCGGTAGTGAAACTTCTGTGTAATTAGTTAACCCTTTTTTTCCCAATTAAGTATTTATTTGTGGCGGACGTAATAAGTATTTTTCCGCCATAGTTTTCTAAGAATCCAGCAATTTTATAAACTACATATAACTGCAATCTTTACATACTGATTTTTTAAATAAATTGAACCACACTAATAGACCAGTCAAAACGACAAACAGAGATAAATGATGGCAGACAATACTGACATAATATAAATATATGATTCATTTTAATAGGCAATTTGCATTTATTTCTGTCGAAAAGCTTTCACGTTGGTAGTTCTGTTTTTATTTATATTTTGTATTCTTATGTTCAAGTGTATTTTATGTGCCCTCATAAATTCTGGGCTAGATATATGTTATCTATTGATTCCTTTTTTTGTGCAGTACCGTACGTACCGATAACAGTTAAGGTCAAGGATCATCTTTCGAACGGATTGTAAATAAGCTACTAAAATTTCTTGCTATCAACCACTTTTGAATACGTGTTAAAGACTTCTGTGGATACACGACGTCGGTTATAAATCCGACGAAGACATCCTACGCTTGTCTGAAAAGATCCTTGATTTCATATTTCATGCTTCCAAGTGTCGCAAAAAGAGATATACTAATGGAATTGGTGAGTCTCAGGGCCTTATCAGGTATCAGGTAAGCCTACTACGCTTAAAGTGCTTTTTCTTACGTTATCAAAAAGAAAATAGATATACTCATAAATATAAATATCTAAGGCTTCTAGAAGCCGGTTTCTGAATTGAGTATAGTACAAAATCTCAACTGAATATTCTCAATAACTAAAGCTTTTTTACGTTTCACTAATCAAAATTACTTACCTAACCACCAGTAATGGTCAAATGTATAGATAACAAGTCGCTTGCAGCTTCATATATAAAGAACAGATACCAAGCTACAAACAGCTGGATACCAAGGCACGTGAGATTGGAATATAAAAGATAGCGACAGCAACACATATACGTGAAATAAATCGTCATTTCATTTAACTTAAACACGAAAATGTCAAAATATCACCAAAAAGATCTATTGTCAGGTGAAAATTAACACAGAGCACACATGTCCATAATTCTGAGTCACATTATGACGTCAATAACAAGTTACAAAATAGCTACTGGAA